ATAAACTGCAGAATTTCGGTTGACATCCATTTTTTTTTTTTGTGCAACTCTATGGGTTGGTGGGATTGCCTCTTTTTATGTCTGCTGAATTGACTCACGCAACATATCCCACTGTTCATCAATAGTCTGTATAATTTCCATTACAATATACCGGTTTTGTATAGTGACATAGTACTGTTCCCTAATTTCTTTATCCGTTCTAAGAATTCCTAAATTTAACTTATGTTCTGTGGTGATTTTTCTAATTTTCTTTAGTTTTATTCTAATTTTTCCTACAACTGGAACATGGTCACTAAAGCAGTCTGCTCCTGGTCTAGTTTTTGCTCCAACTAAGCTGCTTTGGAATCTTCTTGAAATCAAAATATAATCAATCTGATTGCGGACATTATCACCAGGACTTTTCCAAGTCCACAGTCTTCGAGGATGGTGTTTACCAGGTGTTACCTATTATCATGCTGCGCGACTCAGCTCATACTATTAATCTGTCACCTCTCACATTCTTTTCTCCTAGGCCATAGCCACCCGTTATTCCGTACACTTTTTCACTTCCTATTTTCGCGTTGAAATCTCCAAGTACCATTGTTACTTCAAAATTTCCTGCATTGATCAACAGCCATGTCTAACTCATCATAGAATGCATCAATATCTTCCTCTGAACTATCTGCTGTTGGGGCATAAATCTGTACTAAATTGATGTCAAACGATCTGCCGCGAAGTTTTACTAATAGTACTCTATCTGATATTGTCCAAAATCCTTTCACAGTTTTTGAGTTCTTTGGATCCAAAATAATACCAATTCCCTTACTACATTCCTTCCCATAGTTTATTATAACAACATAATGCCAATTCAAGTACAATACTCATGTTTGTTTTACACTTCAGGTTAGTGCTCGTATGCTCCACAAGTACTTTTAACACAAAGTAAAAACTGTCAGATTTTCTAACGAAGTTAACTCTCAATCATACAGTCAACCCCTATCTTCACAAGCTACCGTGTTTGTCCACCGCCCAGCTCAACGCCCCTGGACTAACTGCCCTCTTGATCTGCTTCTATCCTTTTTCTCCCCTTTCTCTGTATTTCATTATCTCTTTTCTTCACATAGCATGGGCAATTTCTCACCCCGCTGTCATCTATCCGTCCACCTGTTTATCTCCATCTTCCCCCATTTCCCGAAATCTCAAGCCTGACGTACCCTACATCATGGATTCATGGTCAGATTTTCCCCTATCTCACGTCAAGATTAATGTTCTGTATCTGGTGTGGCGTTGTTCGACACGTGTTCTAATCTAGGTTGCTGGCGTGCCGGCTATCACGCCATTCAGTGGTGGATTGGCGCTGATGCTCGTCTCAGTGCCTCACTGCATACATTCTTTAGTGCTTCTCCCCCTCTCCCTTTATTTCACTTTCTTACATTCGTGGAGGCAGCAGGTCTGTTCATGTTTTCTCCCACATAAAGAATGTCTTTCGAATACTGTCTACCAATTAAGGACAGAGCTGCATGTTGCGATTGTCTGAAGCGTATACGATGATGCCATATATGGATGGTTTTATCGGCAATTTTGTTATCCTAATAGATATTGTTGGGTAGCCAAAAGAATTAATAATGACGTAAAAGCGGCTACGATAAGAGGACAACATATCGCAAACACATGAAAGAGGTGGGCAACATTGTTTTGTTGCTACGTTATGATAATAAAATAATAAAACAAGTAAAGCAGACTGTGACAGTTGGAAGGATGTTTGGAAGCAGACAACTGAATGGAAAGGTAGGGTGACCCACAAACTCCTGGAAAATTGAAAGCTGCAGGAGTTCGTAGGTTACAGTCCCGTTTTTAGGAGTGTCCCGGTCCGCTACTACAATTGTCCCATTTTATAAAATTCTGGGAATGGGCTTGACAACCCTACATACACTTATAGTTATTGACCGGGAACTTAGTAGATTTAATAGTTTTGCCTACTTTTAATGCCTGAAATGTGTTGATGGCAGCTCTCTTTGTAGCGGTTTTTAAAAGCGCATTTGTGGAGCAAATTGTTTCGTTGATTTCTTTGCAAAAAGGGCTCCGGTTTTGATATTACCACTGACGAACAAGTAGTTAATTCTTTCACCCGGGTGACCTAGAAAAGAGGAAGGAAAAAAAAAATGGGTTGAATTAAATGACGAACTTTGGATGATCTGTTTTTAACTCTACATACAGATGGAGTGTCCTGTTTTCACCCCAAGACACTGTGGTCAATTTACGGAAATCTAACATTACCGTTGTGATTTATGCTACTGGCATTGGAGATCGTAAAATGGGAAAAACGTCTGTCGGCAAGATACTTGATGAAGATGCTGTGAATGAATTGCTTACTTTTTATTTTTAATAATCGTCACGTTCAACCAGCATCCCCCAAAGGTGAGGGGAATGGGGTGGGGAAGTAGTTCTGGTATGTTCTTATTGTGACTATGTTTATGTGCGCCATATAAAAAAGCTTAGCATTGCTCGCCATCAAGAAGCCCTGAAAGGAGTCTTGCAATCTTTATGCGATCAAGACAGACAGATTCAAATACTGTCCCCAAAAAACCACAACATATGAAATGGTGTGCCGCTCTATATTTCCAACATCTGGCGTCCACAACAATAAACACTCCTTATTTGTACGATAAGAGTACTGTCCCTTTCGTTGTTATGGTTACAGGATTCAGTCGCATTGTAATTTAGTTTTAGTTTTACACTTTTGTAAACACTGACGGTTGTTATTTCTTTTATCTATCACAAACACAAAAAGGTGATGTATTAACGTAAAATAAACTTCAGGTAACATTTTAACTGTTTGTTTTAGTCTCATTAGTCGTTAAATATGTTCAAAGCCAGATACAAAATTAAAAATAACAATACAAGACAGGTGATGAGTTCAATGAATTTGTCGATTTGATTACCGAGTCACCAAGTCACCGGTTAAACATTAGTGACACTGACAGCAGTGACAGGCAGTAAATAACAAATATTGAATAATTAACTTTTGAGAAACGGAATGGCTAATGTAGTTGACTAATTAGTATCTAAAGTATCAGAATATCATGTTCAAGCCTTAAGGGTTATAAATTAGAAGTAATAAATAATTTATATTGTTAAAATTAAATTTATGGCTATCCTCCGAATAACGGCCACATACTATGGCGGCCAAAAACACACCCTGACAGGACTTCAGTCACATGTAAATTTCGGACTTCTGGCGCTTAATTTGTGGACTTCTGGCGACTACTGCCTCCGCCGAGAGTATCTTCCGCGCCGCTACGCGCAGCACGAAGCGCGGCTGAACTAGATGGCTGGGTCTCATGAGCAGCAGCTTCTGCATCTCCTGCAGCTTTGCTTTTGAGTCCCAGCCAACTTTTTTTGCCCCACTCCACGCTGCGCATAGCGGCATGGGAGATACTCTCAGCGGTGGCGGTAGTCGCCGGAAGTCGGCAGTTTACATGTGGCTGATGCCCTGTTTTTGGCCGCCATAATATGTGGCTGTTATTTGGAGAATTCCTTTTTTTTCGTACAAAGTTAATGCTGTGTCTGTGTGATAAATCCATTTATTATTATGTGTATCAATTCTGTGTATTGTAAACACGGTTTGTAATTCCAAGATACGAGGTTCGATTTTACAATTGACTACTATAAGTTGATTTTGATAATGGTATCGAGAGCCGGCAGCTCAGTTAGTTTAAGCAATGGCAAACTACTGAATGAAAAAAAACAATGCTTAGTCAAATCACAGACAAAAAATGCTGAGTTTCGATGTTAATGTCATGTAAAGGTCAAGAAACTAACTAATTAACTAACTATTCTGAATTAAAGAAAAAAAAACTTGTGGCCAAACATTCTTTGAAGCTGTTTCAGTGGTAAGATACAAGACCATCCCTATTTTAATCCCATCAGTAAAAGAACCATTTGTCTCCATAAACTGAAGTCTTATTTCTTATACCAGTTCATCACAGCCACATTTCAAACCTACACTAGTAAAATGTAATGGAGACTGGGAGATAGAGTAAAAAAGGACATTCAAAGAGACATACGAAAAAAAAAATTAGATACATAAGAGATACAAGAGATATTGATGGCAGAAGAAAAAGATATAAATAGTCTTGTTTTATAGAGAGATTGATGATAGAAGAAAAAATATAGATGGGCTTGTTCCACAGAAAGATTGATGGAAGAAGAAAAAACATAGATGGACTTGTTCCACAGAGATGTTGATGGCAGAAGAAAAAATATAGATGGGCTTGTTCCAAGGAGAGACTGAAGGCAAAAGAAAAAATATAGATAGGCTTGTTCCACGGAGAGACTGATGGCAGAAGAAAAAATATAGATGGGCTTATTCCACGGAGAGACTGAAGGCAAAAGAAAAAATATAGATAGGCTTGTTCCACGGAGAGATTGATGGCAGAAGAAAAATATAGATGGGCTTGTTCCACGAAGAGATTGATGGCAGAAGAAAAAATATAGATGGGCTTGTTGCATGGAGAGACTGAAGGCAAAAGAAAAAATATAGATGGGCTTGTTCCACGGAGAGATTGATGGCAGAAGAAAAAAATATAGATGGGCTTGTTCCATGGAGAAACTGAAGGCAAAAGAAAAAATATAGATGGGCTTGTTCCACGGAGAGATTGATGGCAGATGAAAAAATAAAGATGGGCTTGTTCCACGGAGAGATTGATGGCAGAAGAAAAAATATAGATGGGCTTGTTCCACGGAGAGACTGAAGGCAAAAGAAAAAATATAGATGGGCTTGTTTCACATAGAGATTGATGGCAGAAGAAAAAATATGTCAAGGGTAAATAATGTCCAGTCAAAGATGGTGGACCTGAATAATATCCAGTGCTACATACATTTGTTTGTTCAATTGTTGGCATATGTTTTCTGTCTAGCAAAATTATAGATTCCGATACTGTGCCTCAATGTTTAACTGTCTTCTTTATTTATGTTACTGTGTAATAACATATTTTCATTTGAATGCTTGCAGGGTAAACATGGCTCAGTCTGAATTAGCAATCGGTTCTCAAAATATGTCTGTCACCGGGGACAAATCTTGTAAGTAGCCATGGTTGATACAAATATGTGTTTTGGGCGTTTCAAAATTTGAATTGTAATGTCAGTATGTGACATAGTACAGTTTTATAAACTATTTGATCTGTTGTTACATTTAATTTACACACAGCAGAGAGTGGAAGAAGAACAGCGTGTTTGTGAGAAAGAAAATGAGAGAGAGGGGAGGGAGAGAGAATGCTACTGATAACACCTGGCTGATTGATTTTGTCTGAAGTAATTTATTATTTACAACATAACTGTTGCAATAATTGTTTTTAATTTTTAAAGACCGAATCATGTCGACAACTTTGCAAACTGTTCCTATACTGACAGTTCCAGTGAGGTATAACTTGTAATTGAGTAAAAGAATGTGGTGATCTCCAGACCACAGAAACAATAAATCCGTTTGATCCTGTCTGTGTGGAAGGTGGCAGAGGCTAAGCTCTTAAGGTTGTAGGTTAATTTCAAGCACATGCTTGTTCAGTTCAAGAGTGTAATTTTGACAGAGAGCCCTGGGGATCATCACTGGATCTGTGGAGTTCATGCTTTGTGGGATATTCTCAGCTAGCTAATCTGCAAAGAGTCATATTTGATAAAAACTGATGCTTGAAGTATATCTCTTTGATTTGTAAATCTGGTTTGTTTGATCACGTCTGCTGTCATGATGATTTGATACACTAATCTATAGCTTGTCTCAAGGGAAGCTAAGCATTTATGACTGTACACAATTCATTCTAACTCAAGTGTAGTTCCTGATTTAGCTTGTTTCAACAATAAGTGTTTACAGATACTTCTTACACATGGAATAAACCGTCACTCATGTGAACTAATTGCAGTCTGCTTCTCCCTCATAAAATGAAGTACAATGGTTGCAACATGAAGCTCTGAAGGCATTACAGTAACATTACGAGATGGAAGCAGTTACAGTAGGATTTGGAGCAGGATGTGTTAGTGTTAGTGTTAACAGTTGTGTCTATAACTATTCTAGTGCAGTCTTATCTTTCTTAAGGTTGTCTCATCTTGTGGACTTCACCACATGAGGACACCTTGTTACATTTTCCATACACCTAAAATGCATTGGCATTTTGACCATTGACATGGTAAACAGTTAATAACTTTCCCCTGGTGTCAGTTGCTGTTTCAGGACATATTGGAACATCTCTATGTTAATCTTCTCTAACTTATAGGTAATTTACTCTGTACATAAATAACATAAACCTTGACCCGTTAGGGTCTGGTAATCTGGTAATCTTAGTTTCAGCTTCATAGCAAACGGGTCGCCCCATAGCTGCTCCGCTCCTGTGCCAATGAAAAACACATAAAATGTTTATCACAGTTCAAATGAAATCCACAGCGTTAGGGTCATGGAGGTGTATTGATGAAAGCACTAGCACATAAAACCTACCATCTTTCTCTGTCTTACTCTGTACCATCCACTCAACACATATAGACTTTATGAGTGGCATCTGTATTAAGAAGATATTCAATTGTCTAAACTTTTGTACAGGAGCAGGGGTGGTGTAGAGGCTAGACATTCTGTCTGTGCCTAAAGGTCTCCACAGGAAACCAATATTGTAACAAGGTGTTAAGAACATATTTATGTAAATACCATATCCTCTTTTAATGAAAGTGAAAACAAAAACAAAAGGGAAAATGCAATGGTATTGACATGTAAAAAGATGCACCGGCATCTCAAAACAATACTGCCAGGCTCAGTAAAGGAGAAGATGAGGACCTGGATACAGAACTTGGCTGATTGGACAGACCTCAGACATGCACAATGAAACCCATTTCTCTGACAGAGAAAGGCGGAATGAACTGATGAGACAGTCAACAACAACTGGTGACCCAACAACATATGATATTATAGGTTTATGATGATGATGAGATGCCATGTTTATGTTGAACACATAATGAGTTATTGATAAAGTTTAATTAAAAAAAAAAAATAGCCTGATAGTCCAAACTGGCAATTTAACACATCCCAGTTGCATTAGTTGCTGTGGGCTTATTTCACTGAACTATTTACATTCAAACTGTCATCGCTGTTCAATATTCAAATTCTTTTATAGTTATAGAAAGAGCATCTGTCCAAGAATCGAAAATGTTTGCATCTCAGAGGTCAAGCAGGGGTGTATGTGTAACACCTGGCCAGAGTTTAAAGGATACCTCAGGTGATCACAGCAAAAAAATGTATTTAAATAAATTATGACATCTTTTATACAAACTGTTCTTCTTCTTCTTTACATTCATCAGCTGTAAACTGGTAGGAAGTTCAGGCTGTTCGTCCACTTCTGCATTTTAATCTTGCTCCAGAACTTGAGTTTTGCATGCACATCCATTTTACAGTTCTGGCTGATTTGTATGCAGACTATTGGTTCTTTGCCTCTCAGGCAGATGCACTCCAACCTCGAAAGAAACCTTTCAATGGTTGACTCTTATGACATGCTTGTTATGGAGGTAGAGGGTCTAGTTCCTCACCCCCTTCCAATAATGGGGCACCAGAACCCAAACTATGATAAAAAGCTGTTCAGTTATCAAACTATTTTTCTTTCTTGATTTCATTGCTGTCTCAACCCGTGCAGAAAAATATTTGTAAAATTTTGCTTAGTGTTGGTTATATTATTATTGAAAAATATATTGCTGTTGGCACTTGTCCGACTGTCCAGATGATGTTATTTTGTTCTTTATGGAGGCATGGGAATCTCAGTCCATGGGGATGGCGAGTGTCACTAGCAACACCCCCTCCCCTCATTAAGAAAAATCTTCTCCAATCAAAGCACAGAATTTCAGGGCCATTGTTTCCCTTGTATGTATTTAACCGGCTTCTTAGATGCTCAGTTCTTCTTCTTTTGTTATATTTGCTTATGCCGCTAGACGTCGCAGTTCATCGGATGATCGGCAGCCGAGCCATGCTGTGCTCAGTAACTTGAGGTGTCAGTGACTCCTTCAATCCATATTTTTCTCAGTCTTCCCCTACCTCTTGATATTTCAATTTTCAGGTTGTACGCTCTTGCTGCTGGCATCGTTGGTTTCATTCTCATTAGATGGTCAAACCATTTTATTCTTTATTTCTCAATAAATTTAACGATCAGTGTTGTTCCAACAGTTCTTGTGATCATGTAGTTTCTCACTTGATCTCTTTTTGGTTTTATTCACAGCCATTTTTAAACATCTAATCTTACAGGTGATTAGTTTTCTTTTGTGTTCTTTTGTCACTGTCCAAGTCTGACATTTAAAATTGGAGCAAGTTGGTACATGATATTGTTGGCTTGTTGGATTCTCATTTCTATCTCTCTGTCTATTTTACCACTGTGTGTAAAGATGCTTCCCAGGTATTTAAATTCTTGCCCTTGTTTCAGACTATGTTCTTTGATCTTTATGTCGATGGCTTGTTGTTCTCTACTTATTCTCATGACTTCTGTTTTTTTGGCTATTGATCTTCATGTGATGTTTAAGGCAACTGTCATTTAGATGGTTTATATGGTCCTGCAGCTGTTTACTTTTACTGTGGAATATGCGCTGATCATCAGCAAAGAGCGGCTCATTGAAGTTCTTCTGTTTATCGACATCTGGTGGTGTTATGTCTATTTTATTAATATTGTCCAAGAATATTTAAAAAATAAAGGTGAAAGAACCCACCCTTGCCTTACTCCTGATGTTACTGGGAACCAGTCTGTGAGGCCAGCTCTTGTTCTGACAATGCTTTTACTTTCTCTATAATTAACTCTTACACAATCTAGTATTGTTCAATTTATACCACAGTTTTCAAAGACATCTCATAGTAAATCTCTGTTCACTCTGTCAAAAGCCTTTTCTTGATGTATTAAAGCAATGTTCATTTGGTGTCTGTGTTCTATTCTCTTTTTGCTAATTTGCTTTATGGTAAAAATAGCATCAGCACACCCTCTTCGTTTCCTGAATCTGACCCATGCTGGGCTCACTATCGGTTCTACAGCAGATCTAATTCGTTGTTTCAGAATCCTACGTGGCTTAAAAATGCCCAATCTCAATTCCTAATCTCTTATTTTATCCTGTAGCCCTATTCTCGTCTGATTCCTGCCCCCCCCCATTCAGTATGATCCATGACATCCTGTTCTTATCAATCCACAATTTAAGTTTTAAATAGTTTTTGGGTAGTTACCTTTTATTATGCACATCGTTTACTTGTCAAATTTATTTTCTAAACAGACAGCAAAGGAAAAAAATATAATCCATTCAAGATTCCACCAGACACTGATATCTTCTTGCTTCGGGACAAAGAAAAAGAAAGAAAGAAAGCAGTATGTTTCCACTTGTTTATTATTTTTAACGTCTATTTTTTCTGAACTGTTTAGGAAATTATGCGGGTATTTTAATATAATTGCTTATTTCTTTCCTATATTAGTGGGGATTAATTATTTTGTAATATTATGTGTACTTCTCTTTACTTAGAACCTAGAAGGCAAAAGAAATAGAGGGAGACGTTAAAAAAAAACACATGCCAATGAATATTAAGAGATAAATAATATAGTGCAGGCAAAGAAAAAGGTGCAGGAGATAACAAAGGATAAAAGAGTTAGCAGCTGTGAAGGTTATGAATTTAAAATCACTCTGTCCATTATTGACATTTCTGTATGGCATCTAAATTCTAAAAGGGGTGTTGCCAAACAAGAGCACTGTGCAGGAAGCCAAAGAAGAATAAGAAACCATGATAGGTCTGATGTCACCAGCCGCTACACGCTGCAGGATTTACTGAGGATGAGATTCAAGCATTAATGGACTAAATAATTTGATATGCAATGAGGATAATCTGTTGACTAATTAACTAACTAATTTGATGTAAATTTCAACTGATATGAATATTTTTGTCTAATTATGACAATTGACTTATGAATCTGACAGGAGCGTTTAAAACAACAAAACTTGAAAGTTCATGAGAAGACAACCTATGCCTCCAGAATTAACTTTCGTCCGGTTTCCCTCATTTGTCCACCTGAGTCAGAGTCAGAGGAAGAGGAGGACACAGAAAAGGCAGTTGCAGTAAAAGAAGATCCCCAGTTCACTATAGCCATCTCAAGAGGTGAATGATGTCTGCATTTAACTTTTTCTTTAGTACAGTTTTGGGTGTTTACAAACACTAATTCTGATGATATTTTTGGTAATTAGATTTCATTTCTCATATATATAGATGTACAGACAGTCCCACATTTTGTAGACATCAAAATCAGTGAGTTGGTCAATCATGCTGGCTGCTTTACTTTCCAGAATGTTTCAGGGTCCCAGTTTCAATGTGGGTCAGTTTAATAAATTACTTGACTTCTTAGAAATTAAAACATATGACCACTGAACTAGCAGACAAGGGAGCACACATGTGCCGGCACACACCCACCCACTAACTCTCTACCACCCACACAGCTTCCTTCTTCTCCACTCATGCACATGCACACACACACACGCACACATGCGCACACACACACACACGCACGCATACACGTACGTGCACACACACCACACACACACACACCACACACACACCACACACCACACACACACCACACACACACCACACACACACACACCACACACCACACACACATACCACATACACACACCACACACACACACCACACACACACACACACCACACACACCACACACACACACACCACACACACACACACACCACACACCCACACCACACACCCACACCACACACACACCACACACACACCACACACACACAACAGAGAGAGAGAGAGAGAGAGTCATACTTTAGAGCAGGGCTATTTAGTTGGCGGCCCATGGGCAGAATCTGGCCCACAGAGGCCTAGTGAGTGGCTCGCGGATCATTGCTAATTTTGTTCTGTTACTGATCTCTCTAAGCTGGGGCTCGGGCCTCTGGTTTGTGATGGTCCCCATTTTCAACAGTTTGGTCCCTGGGTAAACTTACTCGAATTAGAGCATATATGTTTCTGCTCTTTGCATTCACACTGCAATACAAACAGATAAAGCTTGATTTACCTTTTAAGCTGGGTTTTGTTTCCTGCAATTTGTTTTCAAACTTTTCTTAATTTTTAGACTTAAATTTTTTTTTACACTTCAGGTTAGCTTACTCTAATAAGGCTGGGTTTTGTTTTAACACTTCAGGTTAGCTTACTCTAATGAGGCTGGGTTTTGTTTTAACACTTCAGGTTACCTTACTCTAATAAGGCTGGGTTTTGTTTTAACACTTCAGGTTACCTTACTCTAATAAGGCTGGGTTTTGTTTTAACACTTCAGGTTACCTTACTCTAATAAGGCTGGGTTTTGTTTTAACACTTCAGGTTACCTTACTCTAATAAGGCTGGGTTTTGTTTTAACACTTCAGGTTACCTTACTCTAATAAGGCTGGGTTTTGTTTTAACACTTCAGGTTACCTTACTCTAATAAGGCTGGGTTTTGTTTTAACACTTCAGGTTACCTTACTCTAATAAGGCTGGGTTTTGTTTTAACACTTCAGGTTACCTTACTCTAATAAGGCTGGGTTTTGTTTTAACACTTCAGGTTACCTTACTCTAATAAGGCTGGGTTTTTTTTTACACTTCAGGTTAGCTTACTCTAATAAGGCTGGGTTTTGTTTTAACACTTCAGGTTACCTTACTCTAATAAGGCTGGGTTTTTTTTTTAACACTTCAGGTTAGCTTACTCTAATAAGGCTGGGTTTTTTTTTACACTTCAGGTTAGCTTACTCTAATAAGGCTGGGTTTTGTTTTAACACTTCAGGTTAGCTTACTCTAATAAGGCTGGGTTTTTTTTTACACTTCAGGTTAGCTTACTCTAATAAGGCTGGGTTTTGTTTTAACACTTCAGGTTAGCTTACTCTAATAAGGCTGGGTTTTGTTTTAACACTTCAGGTTAGCTTACTCTAATAAGGCTGGGTTTTTTTTACACTTCAGGTTAGCTTACTCTAATAAGGCTGGGTTTTGTTTTAACACTTCAGGTTAGCTTACTCTAATAAGGCTGGGTTTTGTTTTAACACTTCAGGTTAGCTTACTCTAATAAGGCTGGGTTTTTTTTTAACACTTCAGGTTAGCTTACTCTAATAAGGCTGGGTTTTGTTTTAACACTTCAGGTTAGCTTACTCTAATAAGGCTGGGTTTTGTTTTAACACTTCAGGTTAGCTTACTCTAATAAGGCTGGGTTTTGTTTTAACACTTCAGGTTAGCTTACTCTAATAAGGCTGGGTTTTGTTTTAACACTTCAGGTTAGCTTACTCTAATAAGGCTGGGTTTTGTTTTAACACTTCAGGTTAGCTTACTCTAATAAGGCTGGGTTTTGTTTTAACACTTCAGGTTAGCTTACTCTAATAAGGCTGGGTTTTAAAGGCAATTTGTAATCAGTAATATGTTTGATTGGAGCGATTGTGATTAGTTGTGAGTCCTCTGTAAACTTGTGAGTTTGAATTCTTGAGACCAGTGAACTGAAAAGTGGATCCTCTGAGCTTTGAAAAGTGTGTGCTATTGCAGTGAAGTAGATGAAGGGACTTTCCCCCCTACACAGTACGGAAGGGTGTTCTTGCTGGAAATTGTGCCACATAAATCTCCTTCATCTGTTCGAGCTCAGAAACTAGCAGAATGTGCAATATCATTACTGGAACTTTACATCTGTGAAGAGTTCTGGCAGTCAATGACCAGACTAGGATAGGCTGTACCATAAAGAGGTGCTCTAAAATGTGGCCAGGGAGAAGTCTGGCCCTGGTCTTGCAACCTCATTGGCTCCAGTGAAAATATTACAATTTTCCCTTTTACTTCTGCAGGTCGCCATATTGAAAAAGAGTCACTTACTGAGTACATTGCTAAGAAACGAGAAATGTTTCTTGTCCAGGTAAGCCATGCAGCCTTGATGTTTGATAGCAAATGTTTCTTGTGCAGGTAAGCCATGCAGGCTTGATGTTTGATAGCAAATGAAAGGTTTGCTAGTTTTTTCTTTCTGTTTCCTTGTTTGAGTTGAGTAAAGAACCAACATCATAGCACTCAGGACATTTTCATAAGCACACCGTTCTCATTTTCAGCAGCCAGCACAGAGTTCCAATTCTGATGGGACCAGTGGCAATTTGATTGTATGTCTGTCTTGCATTACCCATGAAATTGTGTCAGACAGATCCTCTGGTAACTCCCCACTGCAACATTCTCTTCAGATCATGATAATCTAGTTATGCCTCTGCACTATTCACTGGCTCTCACAGAGTCTTGATAACATCTAACTTGTACTGCATCAATTTACCACCAAATGGTGTAGAACCAACCAGTCTGTCAGCCTGTTTGTTTTCCACACACTAGCACTTTCTGTTTCCTTGTTTAGAGTTAGTCCTTTCTAAAGACCATTTCCAGTTTTGGAAAAATCCAAACCATACCTGTATATTACTATGGCTAACCAGGGAAGCCAATAACGGTAACACTGTAATCTGTCACACATGTCGTAAGAAATTACTAAAGATAGTTGTTATGTGACCGGCTCCTCATTGAATTAAAAAACAACTTTGTACAATCCAGACCATCTTGAACAAATTTATGAAGGTTGAGTTGGTGGAGGGTCTAGGCTCCACTGGGAGATAAAAGAAAGAGAGAATAATAAGTAGACAGTGAACATTAAGTTTTTTAAAGTTTCTGTGAAATGTTTTAGAAAAACTATTCTCTAGGTTGTTATAAAACATTAGTAAAATAAATTGCTGGGACACCCTTAAATCTGTTGAAATAATATGAGATATAAAGTTACATCTATTGGTTAGCACTTACTAATGACAGAGGAAAAATATACAAATCTGGGAACAAAATAGGACACAAATTAACGGCTAAGCAAATACAAACATTCCACCCTATGCTCTCAAGATGGTAACTGCACTCGTCTAAAGTAGCATGTCTACTTTGATACAGAACCATCTAGAACAAGTCTTCTCTTCATTTGAGTGTTTACCAACTGTAAACATCAGCAGAAAGGATTGGAGTTCATCCACTTCTGAACTTTGTTCCAGGATTTGAGTTTTATGTTCACATCTGTTCTACCATCTATATCTATGTCCTCTTCATGTCACCGTTGACTCATAAAGCATCCACATCCATTGCAGCTTTTCAGGCCATATACTTTTACCTGCCTTCATTTTCCTTTCTGCCGTTCCTTCTCTAGATTTTCTTAGGCTGTCCTCTTTTTCCATCTGTTGTCCACTGTAGAACTGTCTTTATGAAAGTATCACAAGGCATTCTGCAAACATATTCAAGCCATCTCCATCTTCTTTCTTTGATAACTTTTGCCTGAGGATGAACATTTTGTTTTCTTCATCAGTTTCTTATTTGTGACACATCTGTTTTACAGATCTGGCTTATTTGTGCTCACTGGTGATTGGTTCCTCACCTTTCAGGAATATGCACCCCAACTTGGACAGACATGTCAATCAGATCTCTGCTGGCCAGGCCCCCAATTGGAAACATGTTTCCAGGATGACAACAGAAAGGTATATCTAGACCAGTATGAATCTTGGCCATGGTGACTTCAACAGTCACTCCCCTAGAAAATAAATGTGCTTTCACAGCAGATCTGATTTTCACTAAAGTATTTATCTTTCTCCCCCCCCCCCCCCCCCCCCCCCCCCCCAACGCTCAGTATTCTCTAGGAGTGAAAAGAGATGAAATGAGGAAACTGGAGGAGATAGCTCAAGCAGAAGAGAAGAAACTTGAACTTGCTGAGCAGTATTTAGAGGAGGATGCAGCCATGTTTGATGAGTTTTTAAAAGAAAATGATAAAAACTCAGTCGAGGCCATTAAAGTGTAAGCAATATTTTTCTGTTAAACTTTGTATTTATTAATTATTATGAAATTATAAAGAAGGCTGAAGCTGTATATTTTATTTAAAAACATGCTTTACTATTCTGTTTTTAAAAACAAATTCAATTGATTTAAAAAAAGAAGATATACACATCTTGGGTTGGGGGGGGGGGAAGACTAAAAGGCAAATAATTATTAGTGATTCCTTCATAGTGGGACTACGTCTGCCTGAGAGACGAGGAACCAAGAGTCTCTATATGCAGAAAAGCCATATTTGTTAAATGGATGTGCACACAAAATTAAAATTCTGGAAAAATAAAAAAGTCAAGATATGGATTACCAACCTGAGAACTTTCTAAAAGAGTTGACAGCCAGGAATAAACATTTCTAACTGTCAGTTAGCAGGTTGCACAGCTATTACACTCACAGATATACTCTCTGGTCATGCAACAAGAGCATCCTGCAAACATGACTCCTTATAAACTCAAGCCACGCAACTATATTGCTGCTTTATAGGTGCCATGATTAGATGAAAAATGTATAGGAGACAGGTCGGGAAGACAAGGTACCCAAGTCTGCTGAAGATGGAGTGTGTCAGCTACAACAAAGCAGGGTGGAATAGTCAGTTGGCCACAATTGCCCCTAACATTGGTTGACTGGAACACACAGTGAGTGAGGTACAAAAAGCTCCGGCTTCAAAATTTCTTCTAGGGAAAAACTTCTTCTACATCTGAAAAACTCGCCCATCATTACTCAGAGATTACACACATGGGTGTAAATCATTCTGCGAAAAATGGGGAAGATACACGTGAGAGTTAGTGCAAAAATAATTAAGTCTAGGAAATTAAGAAGTACATAAGCATCTGTTCTTTGATAAACAGAAGAAAGGGAATCATGCTTATTCACTGAATGAAGTTTCTATGTTGGTCTTACCCAACATGTATGTCAAATTTCAAAGTTTGATAATTTTTTTGCGAACAATTTATTTTACCCCCCCCCCCCCTTCCCCCACCCCCCACTTCCCCCATCTCTCTAGAATATAATAAGGTAGGACTGAATCAGATGGAATAGGGTAGAATAGAATAGAATATAGTAGAATAGAATAGAATAGAACAGAATAGAACACCCCCCTACCCCCGTCGCCAACCCTACACCTATTTAGTGAGTGTGTGGGTTAAATCCTGACACTGCACATCCACATCCACATCCACGTGAAAAACTAGACTAATACCTGAGCTAAGCTGACCCGAATAACCAAGAAAGCAGCAAAAGTGGCTCGTAGAAGAATATTAAAGTAGCTGTGATTGTATCCACAGGAGTAGGAAAAGGGTAGTTAGATATCAAGAGTAATTCAAGCCAAGAATATCAAGATATGCAGTTAACCTGGCCGACTTTCTCCTCTCCTGTAATTAATTTATAACAAAGCTTCCATCAAATGAATTACTTATAAGTGAGCTAGTGTAAACTGGTATGCACGTATGCACAAAGACACTTGAACCTAAGTATACAATTTACCAAGCTATGGTTTAAAACTTGATTATTAGTTCGGTCTAAAGCAAAATAAATTGAATCGTATTGATTTACGATGTTGCAATCAAGAATCGGATATTATGAGGAAAATGCATTAGTCAATGAATTCAATAGGCATATATATGAGAGCAGTGGTGTTCTGAGGAAATTATTTCTGAATAAGAATGATACACAGTTTTAAATAAGTGAACCTCCGACAGTTCTCAGTCTGAGACCCTCAGTTAGGTTGAGGAAAGACACATTCTGAAGTTACAAGACATGTCATCTACCCCCCACTCTCCCCCCGCCCCCATAAGAATTAGTTATTTCTATGTGAGAATGGTTTATGTTTTTTAATTTTTTTAGTTATTTAAAGTGTTTAGTTCGTGCAGGCACATGTTCCATGTATCTGTAATGTTGTGTATTAAAAAATAGCATTTGCAAATTTTGACTGTCTCAGTTTTTCAAACTGTGTTGCAAATGTCTTCCAGGGCAGAAGCAGAAGCCAAGCTGAAAATCGAGAAAGTTAACGAAATAAAAAGAATCAATGCTCAGATGATAGGCATCAAATCAGAGATTGCTAAATATGAAGACACTCTTAAGGAATACCAGATGTATCGTCAGTTCTTAGACTCTCTCATACCTCAAGTGAGTTTTGAGTTAAACAATATTTAATATTAAATTTGTGAAGCTTCTTGGAGGATTTTGTTTTCCATTCTCAACAAGTCAAGAAATAAACATCTCTTCTAAACAACAGCATAAACAATTGGACATTTATAATGTATTGGATTAAATCAGAAACACTTCTAGGACACTGCCTTCCCAAAGAACATCGACTGCAAGCAAGAAGAGGATATAATGTCTGAAACTGTGTATAGTTTATTACCTGCTTGACACACCTGGGCAGTAGTTTATTACCTGCTTGGCACACCTGGGCAGTAGTTTATCACCTGTTTGACACACCTGGGCAGTAGTTTATCACCTGCTTGACACACCTGGGCAGTAGTTTATCACCTGCTTGACACACCTGGGCAGTAGTTTATCACCTGTTTGACACACCTGGGCAGTAGTTTATCACCTGTTTGACACACCTGGGCAGTAGTTTATCACCTGTTTGACACACATGGGCAGTAGTTTATCACCTGCTTGACACACCTAGGCAGTAGTTTATCACCTGTTTGACACACCTGGGCAGTAGTTTATCACCTGTTTGACACACCTGGGCAGTAGTTTATCACCTGCTTGACACACCTGGGCAGTAGTTTATCACCTGCTTGACACACCTGGGCAGTAGTTTATCACCTGCTTGACACACCTGGGCAGTAATTTATCACCTGCTTGACACACCTGGGCAGTAGTTTATCACCTGCTTGACACACCTGGGCAGTAGTTTATCACCTGCTTGACACACCTGGGTAGTAGTTTATTACCTGCTTGACACACCTGGGCAGTAGTTTATCACCTGCTTGACACACCTGGGCAGTAGTTTATCACCTGTTTGACACACCTGGGCAGTAGTTTATCACCTGTTTGACACACCTGGGCAGTAATTTATCACCTGCTTGACACACCTGGGCAGTAGTTTATCACCTGCTTGACACACCTGGGCAGTAGTTTATCACCTGCTTGACACACCTGGGCAGTAGTTTATTACCTGCTTGACACACCTGGGCAGTAGTTTATCACCTGCTTGATGATATTTAAGAGCTTCTACATTGACAGGAATGACAATAGCCATTGCTGCCTGTCAAGCCATGGACCGCAAACCAGTCCCCACAATGCAGACAGACAGACAGACAGACAGACAGACGGACGGACAGACAGACAGACAGACAGACAGACAGACAGGCAGGCAGGCAGGCAGGCAGACAGTATATAAGTAGTTTACAGTTTATACAGTTTAAAATACATTTGAATTACTTCTGCCAGGAGGTGCAAGAAGAGCGAAAGAAAATCCTTGACAAAAAGAGGGAAGAAAAGATGAAGATAAAGGAAAAAGAAAAAGAATTTGACAGGATGTCTAAGGCAAGCATGAAATCTAAGAAAAGTATGGCTTCTTCAGGTAGAAAACAGAGTGAAAAGCACTCAGCTCTAACTGCAAAAGTGTAAGTATGAATTGTTTGTATTGTTATTGTTTGGAAGTGGGCATGGCTAGTGCTGTTGCCACAGACTGTGCAGGTTATAATTTTCTTTTTTGCTATCTGCACACAAAAAATCCCTAACTTTAACGCGGATTTGAATCTGGTTCTCCAGCATGAGAACCCAGCGTTCTTGACTGTTTGGCCAGCTGCTCCTCTTATAAATTAAATACCATTTCTAGTGTCATAATTAATAATTTTATTATTAATGTCATAACTAATCTTTAGAAATTAAATTAGCAGTAAAGTAATAAAATACAATTCTCATGCCTCAAAACTTGTCAGTTTGCATCATAATGCTTTTTCTGTAGTCATATTTGCTAATGCTATTCTAAAGCCACATTTACTAATGCTGTTTCTATGTCACATTTGTAATGCTATTTCTAATGTCATATTTACTAATGCTGTTTCTATGTCACATTTGTAATGCTATTTCTAATGTCATATTTACTAATGCTATTTGTAATGTCATCTTTGCTGATGCTATTTCTAATTCCTGTTTGCCAATGTTTTTCTAATGTTATACATATATCTACTAATGCTATTTATACTGTCATAATTCCTAATTTTGTCTTAAAGTGACGACACAATAATAACTTTTGAAGACAATATCTGGTGATGTTTGAGAAAAATTTAATTTAAGATTGTCACACATTTACTCTGTTGCATCCATGTTTGGCCACCAGAAGTAGAAAACCTGTGCAAATATGTTGTTTACCACTGGCAACTTGACCTCAGTTTTTTGCCTTGCAGCTGGTGGTCATAGGTTGGAGCTCAAGTGAGGTAGCTTCTTTTAAAAATAACTCCAGCTGCCAAGTTGGCTTTTCTTTCATAAAATGAGTATCTGGGAAGTAAAATTGGCAGATACGATTCTGGCCAAATCATCCACCAAATGTTGACTGTTTATAATAATATAGGGTTGTTTTGTGTTTATGTTTATTTGACGAATCAACATCATGACACATGGGTGCAACCCATAAGTTCTCTGTTCTACTTCTAACTCAAGCTTGAGTCTGAAAAATCTCAGGGCAGTGCACAAACTTTGTTGCACCGGCGAGGATCCTGAAATACTTTGGGTGGATTTTAAATTCCAAATTTTGCCCAGGCAGCGCCATTATGCTACTCTTTTCGATTTCCAACTGCCAAGGGATTTTTTTTACGCGTGCAGCAATACACACGGGCATCTGATCTCACTACCCAGAGACCAGGGAAAATTACTAGAAGTCCAAAATATGGGGCTATATAAACCTATATTTATACAGCCTAGACAGCACTTGATGGGTGATGTGGTGAACATGATGATGGCCACCTTTACTTTCCAGGACATTTCCTAGTACTTATTTAGCTTCTGCTGACCTGGGAGCCATGATCAATTGTTGAAACAATAGGCTTCAGTACATATTTGAACCTTAGACCTTTGCGCTGGCAGGTGAGCATCTAGCTACTTCGCTAGTGCAGCTCCCAAATGTTACTTGACCACTACAAAATTGTAATGGTATAACAAAATCTAACACTTCACTATACTCAGCATTGTTGTTATTATCACAGCTGCTACCTCTGAAGTTATTACTACTACAGATGCTGCTGCCACTATTGTAACATCTGTTTATTGCTCTAGTTCCTGCTATTAACGCTACAGTTGTTATTGCTGCTTATAAAGATACAATTATTGTTGCTGCTACCAATGACACTATTGTACTTGTTACTACAACAATTACTTATGCTGCAGTGGTTATTGTTTTCTTAATCCTGCAACTATTACTTAATCTGTTATCGCTTTTAGCAAAATACTGTAATTATTCAGTAAGGACTGCTTACCTGATCAGTAGTATGTATAAGACCAGATTGTTTTTACTTTTGATACCTAATCTCATCATAATTGTAATTCAGTTGTTTTAAACTGGTCCTTCTGCTTCATGATTTTTCAGCGTTCACTGGTTTTGAGATACAAAATCTAGTTTGAAAAAAAATCATTGTTGACAACTCAGTGCCTAGTGGAAATTCAGTTTTACATCTTGCAGTTGTTTTTTTTTTTAGTTATTACTATTAATAACTGAACAGTCTCATTCTACCATTCCTGAATATCAGTCATGAATATTTTGCGAGTAAAACTCATAGACTTGTGTATAGCCAAAACATTTAACATTTACAAGTCATCATTATGATCCTGTCTTGCCATATACATCACATCACACATAGCTTCTAGTCTAGTTCCCTATTACGTGTTTGTCACGTGCATTTCTTTGAGTATCTTGAATGGAATCTAGTCTAGCATCTTTGGCATTTCATAACAGCATTTTTCTTAGGTTTTGGTCTTGGATGCCTCAATCCATTTGTTTTAGATTTCACTGCCTATTTAGCAATCCCCTGTCTGCTTCTCTTCATAGTCTGCCTAGTAAATTGCCATTGTCTTTTTCTTACAGCTGTTCATACAAGCAGTTGTCTCTGATATTTCTTCACCCTTCTCAACTTTATCCTGTAATAGGTTGGAAGGAGTTTGTTGTTAGCCTTTTATAATAATTTTGATTTGGCTATACTTACAAACTAAATATGGTTTATGGTTTATACAACAAATCACCATCATGGCTCAAGGATAGTAACCGATAAGTGCTCCCTTCTACTTCTAATACAAGCCTGAGTCCGAAGAATCTCAGCGCAGTGCACGAACGCCGTAGCACCAGCAAGGATCATGAAATATTTCGGGTAGATTTTAACTCCAATTTGTGTCTAACCTAAAACTGGTAGTTTTGCAGATCAGAACTTGCTGGAAGTGCCCAGTGAGTCATGATGGTTTGGAAGGTGATAAAAGACGTGGGACATGAGAAAAGGCTTTGGCGCTTGACTCTGCAGCGGTGAGATGAGAAACATGTTGTCCTCACCTTTTGTTGCAGAACCGTAAAGGGTTCTTAATGCAACATGGTTTCAGGGGACTGAGTCGAGAGATGGACTGACTCACTGGTTTCATATTGCGGCAGTACGTTTAGTAAATAGATTTTGTTAGATCTAGATTTCCATTGTGCATCCTAGCTTGGAGATTCTAATAGTAAGTAGAAAAGGTGAGCTGTCATCGTCATTAGCTGGAGTGATAAGCACATGGTCTGTTCAAACACGCTTTTGATTGGTAATATAGTGTTATCCGCTAAGCACACTAAATTGTAATCAGGAAAATGAAAAGATCTTGAATGTGATGATTATATTCCATTTGTTTGGTTCAGAATAGGGCTTGTAGTTCATGCACATGGTCTCTCTAGGAGCTGCCTATGTAGTTATTTGTTGTAGTTGTTGTGTAATTCACTATTCACATATCCATCACCTGCGCCATGAGTAATATTTAATGGTTCATGCACCAGAAGAACCTTTGTCTGTACTTTTCCTGTTTTTGCAGTTCAGCGGGAAACTCTTTGTTTTCCAAACCACATTTCTTTCCTCGTCTCCCTACTTGTGTTTTCCCTTTTTTGCTTTAGTTCCTTTCAATGTTGATCAGTTTGTCAGTTGCTTTTTATTTCCCTCTACACACAGATAACACTCCTATTAGGCACATACTGAACTGTTGAGGTTTGAAGATGAGTATGTTGTTCTCATCACCCACATACAGTAAAACACCTTTTTTTTTGTTGTTGTTTTTTTCTCAACTAAATGCTGAAGCCAAGCAGTCAATAACACTTACTTTCAGGATACAAGAGAGAACTCCAGTAGTAGAAAGTGAGGCTAGTGGTGCAGCTGATGGGTAAATATTTTCACTGACAATGTGGTTTTTATTGTTTTTGTTTTTCTGTTGCTTGTTGGTTGACTGTTATTGCATTATTATCATTGGCGTATTTTATTTTTTTAAATCAAAGTTGGTGATTGGCTTGATGAGTTTTGCTGTTGCTTGTTGGTTGACTGTTTTTGTATTATTCTCATTGGCTTGGTTAAATTTTTTTGGGTATCAAAGTTGCTGATTGGCTTGGTTATTTTTGTATCATAGTTGCTGATTAGCTTAATTATCATTGTATTGTTTCTGATTGGCTTTATTAGTTTTGCTATCATTGCTAACTTGTTGCTAATTATTCCATTTTTTAAAGCTGTATTTATTTGTTTCTAATCGTAATTGATGTAATAATCATCACAAATTATAAAGCAGAAAACACAATGAAAGCGGAACAACTCACAAAGTCGGGTCCACAAAGAAAGTGACTTCCCTTGCCATTTATTCCTGATTGTGAAGTAGGGCCTGTCCTATGTTGTGGGGGTGTCATGCTTAGTAAGCGTCCAGCAAGACAAGGTATTATACACATTGTTGTCATTGGCTGTATGCAGTCATGTAACGTAGTCTACACTCTCTTGTGGGATGTAGGCTAAGGCTGTGGTGTAGGGGAGTTTGGGTTAGGGCCAGTTCTATGTTTTTGGGACCTGTTAAAAGCGCTCACATCGTGGAATTTAGAACACATTAAATCGCTGGCCAGTGACAATAATGCATAAAGTTTGCTGTTCATTGCTTTGCTAGGCTCTCACTAAACTAACACCCCCGCAACATAGGACAGGCCCTGCTACATGACCAGGGATGAATGGCAAGGGAAGTCAATCTCTTTGTGGGCTTGACTTTGTGAATTGTAACATGAAAGCATAATAAAGTTTATTTTTTAGCAGTGAGTCAACATAATACTCAGAGTTGTATTGAGAATAGGAACTCCAAAAAATGGTCAATTTTTATCACAATAACATGCCTGTCTGTGTGAATCATGGAAGTGATCACAATAACATGTCTGTCTGTGTGAATCATGGAAGTGATCACAATAACATGTCTGTCTGTGTGAATCATGGAAGTGATCACAATAACATGTCTGTCTGTGTGAATCATGGAAGTGATCACAATAACATGTCTGTCTGTGTGAATCATGGAAGTGATCACAATAACATGTCTGTCTGTGGGAATCATGGAAGTGATCACAATAACATGCCTGTCTGTGTGAATCATGGATGTGATCACAATAACATGTCTGTCTGTGTGAATCATGGAAGTGATCACAATAACATGTCTGTCTGTGTGAATCATGGAAGTGATCACAATAACATGTCTGTCTGTGTGAATCATTGAAGTGATCACAATAACATGTCTGTCTGTGTGAATCATGGAAGTGATCACAATAACATGTCTGTCTGTGTGAATCATGGAAGTGATCACAATAACATGTCTGTCTGTGTGAATCATGGAAGTGATCACAATAACATGTCTGTCTGTGTGAATCATGGAAGTGATCACAATAACATGTCTGTCTGTGTGAATCATGGAAGTGATCACAATAACATGTCTGTCTGTATGAATCATGGAAGTGATCACAATAACATGTCTGTCTGTGTGAATCATGGAAGTGATCACAATACCATGTCTGTCTGTGTGAATCATGGAAGTGATCACAATAACATGTCTGTCTGTGGGAATCATGGAAGTGATCACAAAACCATGTCTGTCTGTGTGAATCATGGAAGTGATCACAATAACATGTCTGTCTGTGTGAATCATGGAAGTGATCACAATAACATGTCTGTCTGTGTGAATCATGGAAGTGATCACAATAACATGTCTGTCTGTGTGAATCATGGAAGTGATCACAATAACATGTCTGTCTGTGTGAATCATGGAAGTGATCACAATAACATGTCTGTCTGTGTGAATCATGGAAGTGATCACAATAACATGTCTGTCTGTGTGAATCATGGAAGTGATCACAATACCATGTCTGTCTGTGTGAATCATGGAAGTGATCACAATAACATGTCTGTCTGTGGAAATCATGGAAGTGATCACAATACCATGTCTGTCTGTGTGAATCATGGAAGTGATCACAATAACATGTCTGTCTGTGTGAATCATGGAAGTGATCACAATAACATGTCTGTCTGTGTGAATCATGGAAGTGATCACAATAACATGCCTGTCTGTGTGAATCATGGAAGTGATCACAATAACATGCCTGTCTGTGTGAATCATGGAAGTGATCACAATAACATGCCTGTCTGTGTGAATCATGGAAGTGATCACAATAACATGCCTGTCTGTGTGAATCATGGAAGTGATCACAATAACATGTCTGTCTGTGTGAATCATGGAAGTGATCACAATAACATGTCTGTCTGTGTGAATCATGGAAGTGATCACAATAACATGTCTGTCTGTGTGAATCATGGAAGTGATCACAATAACATGTCTGTCTGTGTGAATCATGGAAGTGATCACAATAACATGTCTGTCTGTGTGAATCATGGAAGTGATCACAATAACATGTCTGTCTGTGTGAATCATGGAAGTGATCACAATACCATGTCTGTCTGTGTGAATCATGGAAGTGATCACAATAACATGTCTGTCTGTGTGAATCATGGAAGTGATCACAATAACATGTCTGTCTGTGTGAATCATGGAAGTGATCACAATAACATGTCTGTCTGTGGGAATCATGGAAGTGATCACAATACCATGTCTGTCTGTGTGAATCATGGAAGTGATCACAATAACATGTCTGTCTGTGTGAATCATGGAAGTGATCACAATAACATGTCTGTCTGTGTGAATCATGGAAGTGATCACAATAACATGCCTGTCTGTGTGAATCATGGAAGTGATCACAATAACATGTCTGTCTGTGTGAATCATGGAAGTGATCACAATAACATGTCTGTCTGTGTGAATCATGGAAGTGATCACAATAACATGTCTGTCTGTGTGAATCATGGAAGTGATCACAATAACATGTCTGTTTGTGTGAATCATGGAAGTGATCACAATAACATGCCTGTCTGTGGGAATCATGGAAGTGATCACAATAACATGCCTGTCTGTGTGAATCATGGAAGTGATCACAATAACATGTCTGTCTGTGTGAATCATGGAAGTGATCACAATAACATTTCTGTCTGTGGGAATCATGGAAGTGATCACAATACCATGTCTGTCTGTGTGAATCATGGAAGTGATCACAATAACATGTCTGTCTGTGTGAATCATGGAAGTGATCACAATAACATGTCTGTCTGTGTGAATCATGGAAGTGATCACAATAACATGCCTGTCTGTGTGAATCATGGAAGTGATCACAATAACATGTCTGTCTGTGTGAATCATGGAAGTGATCACAATAACATGTCTGTCTGTGTGAATCATGGAAGAAGAAACAATAACATGTCTGTCTGTGTGAATCATGGAAGTGATCACAATAACATGCCTGTCTGTGGGAATCATGGAAGTGATCACAATAACATGCCTGTCTGTGTGAATCATGGAAGTGATCACAATAACATGTCTGTCTGTGTGAATCATGGAAGTGATCACAATAACATGTCTGTCTGTGTGAATCATGGAAGTGATACAATAACATGTCTGTCTGTGTGAATCATGGAAGTGATCACAATAACATGCCTGTCTGTGGGAATCATGGAAGTGATCACAATAACATGCCTGTCTGTGTGAATCATGGAAGTGATCACAATAACATGTCTGTCTGTGTGAATCATGGAAGTGATCACAATAACATGTCTGTCTGTGTGAATCATGGAAGTGATACAATAACATGTCTGTCTGTGTGAATCATGGAAGTGATCACAATACCATGTCTGTCTGTGTGAATCATGGAAGTGATCACAATAACATGTCTGTCTGTGTGAATCATGGAAGTGATCACACAAAAATTAAACAGAAGCAGCAGTGAATGTGATTTTACATAGGTAAAGCTGCGAGATAAAAAAAAAAATATTAACTGAAGCACTCAAGCATGTTGAATGTTGAATTCAGAATCAACATCACAGCACTCAGGACACTTCCATAAGTGCTCCATCCCTATCTTCAGCAGCAAGCGAAGAGTTAAAATTCCGATGGTACCAGTAACTGTCTGATTGTAACTGCCATTCCTCTGAGTGGCAAGCGTCGACCAGATCCCCTTGTAACTCCTTACAGCGCCATTCTCCTCAGACCGTAATGATATCTGTCTGTTCCTCGGCACTGTTCACTTGCTCCCAAAGGGCCCTCACAACATCCAGCTTGTCATACATCATTCCCCCACCAAGCACTTGAGCAATACAAAACAAGCACTAAAATGGAAAACAAATGGTCTGGGGATAAAACGACGTCCAAGGGAAACATTAACAAGAACAGTATTGCGAGAAGGAAGCTGCCGTGGTCAAATGGCTAGACACTATCCTGTGGATCGGAAGGTTGATCTTGGCTCCCAGGTTGACCCAGCCTTGAGTGGCTACCAGATACAGTCCTGGGAAGTAAAGGCAGTCGGCGTGATGCTGACCACATCACCCACCAAGTGACGCTTGGTATATAAAATATAGGTCTAGCCCTATATGCCCGATCTTGCTGAAGGTGTGGAAAAGGATCCTTTACTTTACTTTTATTATGAGGAGCTAAAAATGCTACATATCAGAAATTGAGAGAGTTGCATGCAGTAGAGCGGAGTTGGGGAATCAAATGCGAACCCTGTGTGACGTTTCTTCTTCTTCTTCTGCGTTCATCCGAAGATGTAATTACCTTGTGACAGTTTACAGCATGGCTGCGATATTTGCACCTTTCGGCCAGCAAATTTGACTTCTGTGGGCATTTGTTGACTGGGTCAGCCTTCCAGGTTAGTTTCTGGGGACATGGCAGTCTCATTGTTGTGTGGTCATCTTTATTTCCTAGGTCACAGGTAGTGCCCCAACCAGGCTGGTCCAGAGAGACCACATAATGCTGATCAGCCCTCAAGAGAAGGCAGAGGCAGAACTTCCAAGGAGGCTTCCACAAATGCAGAGCTAACACATGGTGCTCTGGTACTGGGCTCACGCAAGGAATCGTCACATCCTGCTCATGACTGTTTAACCTCACTTCCAAATATTGAACATCTCATACATCATGGGCTATCTCTTTTGTAGCCAACAGTATGCAGCTTGCAGACCTAGGATTTAATTTACCTACACCACAAAATGAGTACTTTGCTTCTTTTGCATGTTAGACTTTTACTGCAGTGGACTTCCTCATCCACTATAGTTTCATGTGGTTTACGAGCTCTGCATCTCTAGGGACTATCAGCTCAGAGAATCCTGGACAGTTCTGTTCTTCTTATACCTTCAGATGTCAGTGTGGATATATTTGAAGAGTGTGACGTTTAATGGCAGGTAATGTTGTGAGTCAAATGCAAGGCATAGTAAAAATATGCAGGCAGCCAATGGTAAGGGGTGTTTGGTCACAGAGATAGTCCAACCTGAAAAAAAGCACCAGTGGTTTAATAAAAAAACATTGGAGATAACTGGCCAGTTCGTAATGAAGTGGGATGACAGAGTGAGCAGAGATGGCGGAAGATTTCAAAAAATGAAAGTTTGGAAAGAGAAGTAGGGAAAATGGTTATTAGAAAGAGAAAGAAGCCAGGAGACGATTGCATGATTTTAACAGAACCATTGAGTCATAATACTAGGGCTTTTTTTCTGGTGGTATGCAGTACTGGCACTTTTATATTTGCATTATGTTTTTAATGCTACTGAAATAAACACTATATTCAGTGAGTATAGTGTCGGCGTTTGTGGCTTAGGCGTTGAAACGAGCTTCGTAATGCCGGGGTACCGGGTTCGATCCCAGCTGCGGCCCTTGCGCCTTGCGTTGGTTTTGGCAGTGATATCGAGAAGCCGACTGTCCAGTAATGCTGGGGTTGGTTCTGCAACGTCCTGTAAAGGACACGCAACTAAAAAAAAAAGTGTGTACAGTAATAGCACCATTTTTTTACACTCTGTGGTGAGCACTGGCACCTTTTTTTCCTTGAGAAAAGCCATGCCTAGTACATATTAGATAATTTATCACTAAGGTAGTGCATTGTGGCAAGATAACTTTTGGAAAAGTAACATTTTTAATAATGCAAAATGATGAAAGATAATATGTTGATGTTATTTTATGACTGTGGAAATATTGTCTGTGATTTATTTTCATTCAGTAGGCAGCAGGAAGACAGTGAAGACAAGGCGATCGATATTGAAGATTTTGAAGATAGTGATGAGGTATCTTCATCTGTTTTCCTACGTTTATCCTATGTTCTTTCAGTTATTGTCATATTGTTATCATTGATTGCCATATTTAGAATTAAAAGGTTAAAGGTGAGAGGAAAGCTGAACATAGAATTACCAGAGAAATTAGTGTGCCTTATTCTCAGTCAGTTCTACAGAAGGTTCCAAATGTACAAATGTAGCATGGTTGGATACCAGGCAGTAGCATATCGGCATTACAGGGGCTCATGTTGTTAGTGTCTGGGACACATGGGAGTGAGAGGAAATGAAAGAGCAGATTTGTTGGCTACTAAAGCGATAGCCACAGGAAGACTTATACTGGACAAGGGAGACATTGAGAAGACCATTTCTGAATGAATGGTGATAAAAGACATAAGGTTAGATGAAATAACATGTAAAAGCATGCCTGAACCTGGAATTAGAAGTGGATCCCACACGGAAAAGGGGGGGGGGGTGTGAGAATAAGATTACAACATGTGTAAAATCACTTTTGCTATGGGAACAGTTAGCGCACTTTAGGACATTTGCTGTGGGAGACGGAGCATCAATGGATATGCCTGGTGTTCTATGCTGTCCATTTTTCAATCAGTAACTGATTTCACTGCAGCAGGTTTTACCCAAATATAATTTGGTCTCATTTCCTTCATCATTCTTATCTTTTATTTATTATTATCATAATGTTATCACCACCATTATTACCATTAAAAGTGGCGTCCGTGGCTAAGGCGTGCGAGTCTGACTCGTAATCCAACCTACTGCGATCGAAACCTGCGTGGGCTGCGTGGATTTTTATCGTGGTATGGGACGTCGCAGGTCGACCCAGCCTCAATTGGGTACCAGGATGGGCTGTCCTGGGAAAGTAAACACGGCAGGCGTAATGCTGACCACATTATCCACCGAGTGCCGATTAGTCTGTAAAAATATGGGTGCTCTTCCCATATGCCCGATGCGCCTAAGGGCGTGTAAAGGGATCTTTACTTTTTACTTACTTATTACCATTAAAATGTCTGTTACGGCTGTCACTATTTTGAGATCTTTACCATCATAGGTTTCTGTACAAGAAAAAAGAAAAATAGAGGAAAGCAAGAGTGAACCAACCTTCTTACCTGTGTCATTGTTCTATTTTATTTGTTTACACTCAGGAGCCTGATTTGTACTTCACTGACCCCCAAGAGCTGTTGGACATATTTTCTGAACTGGAAGAACAAAATTTGTCTCTCATTCAAAATAGTCAAGAGACTGAAGAGGCCCTAGAAGAGATGAAATCAACAATAAAGGAAACAAAATTGAAAATGTAACTCTTTTTGCATTTGTGTTATTTCTTGTTTTAATCAGATACATCATTCAATGCCGTGTATTTTCATTAGTTAACATTCAAGCATACATTTATTTGTATTTCATTTTATTCTCTTGAAGTGATACTGTTAGCTTTTGATTAGCTTGAAGTGATACTGTTAGCTTCCAATTAGCTTAAAGTGATACTGTTAGCTTCCAATTAGCTTAAAGTGATACTGTTAGCTTCCAATTAGCTTAAAGTGATACTGTTAGCTTCCAATTAGCTTAAAGTTATACTGTTAGCTTCCAATTAGCTTGAGGTGATACTGTTAGTTTCTGATTAGCTTGAAGTGATACTGTTAGTTTCTGATTAGCTTGAGGTGATACTGTTAGTTTCTGATTAGCTTGAGGTGATACTGTTAGCTTCCAATTAGCTTGAAGTGATACCAATTAGCTTAAAGTGATACTGTTAGCTTCCAATTAGCTTGAAGTGATACTGTTAGTTTCTGATTAGCTTGAAGTGATACTGTTAGTTTCTGATTAGCTTGAGGTGATACTGTTAGCTTCCAATTAGCTTAAAGTGATACTGTTAGCTTCCAATTAGCTTGAAGTGATACTGTTAGTTTCTGATTAGCTTGAAGTGATACTGTTAGTTTCTGATTAGCTTGAGGTGATACTGTTAGCTTCCAATTAGCTTGAAGTGATACTGTTAGTTTCTGATTAGCACTGCCTTCCTGTGTGTAAAGTTGTATTCTATTTTTCAAATGAATAAATGTATTTATACTTTCTAACCTCTGTCAAGAGTGAATGTAATGCTCGCTTACTGGTGTAGGCAGTTGCATCTTTTTACAGCTGTTGTTCAGTGTATGTGTCTTTAGGTGCTCCAACCTGATAATAATTCAAATTCACGAATGAAGAGGATTCAAAACCAACCAACTATAAAGAAAAAATTCAAGTTTTGATGAGTTTATAATTGAATTATACATACAGTTTTGTCGCTTGTTCTTATTTAGGGAGAAAGAAACCAAAATGCTGACAGAACAGATAGAGAAACTTCAGTCACAAATTCATAAAGAAGAAGCCAAATCAGCTGATCTAAAAATGAAAGCAAAGTAAGTAATACTATTGGTTGTTGATTTATTGGATCCAGGTCTCACTCATCAGAAGATATGCCAGCCTGAAGCTGCTTTTGTTGAAACTATCTGACTTTGTTTGTGTCTCCCATGTTGGCCCAGGGGCCTCTTTTTGAGGAAGACAAGACTAGACTGTTGTATGAGTTGACTGATTGGGGAAAACAAGACTAGACTGTTGTATGAGTTGACTGATTGGGGAAAACAAGAATAGACTGTTGTATGAGTTGACTGATTGGGGAAAACAAGAAAAGACTGTTGTATGATTTGACTGATTGGGGAAAACAAGAATAGACTGTTGTATGAGTTGACTGATTGGGGAAAACAAGAATAGACTGTTGTATTAGTTGACTGATTGGGGAAGACAAGAATAGACTGTTGTGTGAGTTAACTGATTAGGGGCATTCTTTAAAGCTGGAGTATGTCTGCAAATAAGCCAAGATTTATGAAACGGATGTGCATACAGCACTTAGGTTCTGAAACAAGACTGACATCCAAAGGTGGATGAACACCCAGAACTTTGCACCAGAGTCAGAGAACAAGAAGAAGAAGAAGAACAATGTTAACAAGGGACTTAGATATTTGCCTTCTTTTTCTTCGCGTTCACCAGCTGTAAACTCTGGCAGAAAATTTATGTTCTTGTTTTCCCCACAAAGGGGCCCCGGTATATTATATAATTGTCTTGCTTCAGAACTGTAACATTAACAAAGAATCGAGTACTTACATATTGCATTCTGAAGAACATATTTTTCTGTTGCCTTAATTTTACTTCTACTAATCTGTTTTTCAGACTGTAGATTTGTACTTTCTGATCTCATTCTAATTGTCCATTTTCATAAACCAGTATAGCATAAATGTAAAAGTCAGGATGTTTCATGTTAGAAGCTGGCATTGAGGTATGAAATGTTGGGGCTTCTTATAGTCTGGTGTCGCCACCCCACGCGGGAATATACACTTATATAGTAAGTGTGTGGGTTTGAATCCTAACCTCAACTGTTCGGTTTCTATCCTAACACTGCACACCCACGTGAGAACTAGACTGATGTCTGAGCCATGTTAATCCCAGACACAGTCTTGGATAACTCTGATCTATGTTGATCCCAGACACAGTCCTGGATAACTCTGATCTATGTTGATCCCAGACACAGTCCTCGATAACTCTGATCTATGTTGATCCCATACACAGTCCTGGATAACTCTGAGCTATATTGATCCCAGACACAGTCCTGGATAACTCTGATCTATGTTGATCCCAGACACAGTCCTGGATAACTCTGATCTATGTTGATCCCAGACACAGTCCTGGATAACTCTGAGCTATGTTGATCCCAGACACAGTCCTGGATAACTCTGAGCTATGTTGATCCCAGACACAGTCCTGGATAACTCTGATCTATGTTGATCCCAGACACAGTCCTGGATAACTCTGATCTATAGTGATCCCAGACACAGTCCTGGATAACTCTGATCTATGTTGATCCCAGACACAGTGCTGGATAACTTTGATCTATGTTGATCCCAGACACAGTCCTGGATAACTCTGAGCTATGTTGATCCCAAACACAGTCCTGGATAACTCTGAGCTATATTGATCCCAAACACAGTCCTAGATAACTCTGATCTATGTTGATCCCAGACACAGTCCTGGATAACTCTGAGCTATATTGATCCCAGACACAGCCCTGGATAACTCTGATCTATGTTGATCCCAGACACAGTCCTGGATAACTCTGATCTATGTTGATCCCAGACACAGTCCTGGATAACCATGAGCCATGTTGATCCCAGACACAGTCCTAGATAACTCTGAGCTATGTTGATCCCAGACGGTAAACAGTGTACACAAAGAAACTTGGAGCTAAGTGCGCTATTTACTATATTTTATAACAACATGGACAAGATTTTATGAATAGTCTAAACTCAGGGGGAGATAATCACAATTATCAGAGTTGCATGCCCCTGATGGTCTGGCCTCAAAGATAATTATCTAGCACCCCAAGTTAGGTTGTCAGTTAATTCAGTTGAACTGTAGCCATCCAGTCTACCTGGTCAGCCTTATCTGAATTATCTGACACCTTAAACACTCTGCAAAGGTACTGATATTTGATATCAACATCAACTGCAGTCCCTGGAAATTTAGTAGCTTTGTCCTGGGTGGCCTAGATTTGGAGATATATCCAGCAAGATATGTTCCTGTATACTTAAAAATACATGAAAACAAATTAGGTTGAGAAAAAACATGTTCTGAAGTCAAGAGCATGTCGTCACATCTTGGTGTTGATATAATAGGGTAGTATGACAATTTCCAGACATTTTGATAACTATCTGGTTCCCATTTTATGAGACTGTAATGAATGAATGAACACATTTTGCTTTCAAAGGGTGAGAAATTCTAACTAAAGGAGAAAAAGAAAATCTTACCACTGCTGGGTATTGAACACACATATAATCTTGGTCGGGGTTGAGTGGTCTCAAGGTATGGCTTCAGCCTCGAGTGTTGGAGGTCCTGGGTTTTAACCCCGGTGAAGGCTGGGATTTTTTCACGTGGACTTCTAGTCATTTCCCCTAGTCTCTGGGTAGTAGGACCAGGTGCCCGTGTGTATTGTTGCGCATGTATAAAATACCTTGTCAGTTGTAAATAAAAAAAAAAGTAGCCTAAGGGCTAATTTTGAGTTAAAAATCTACCCAAAGTATTTCAGGGTCCTTGCTGATGCAACGGAGTTCGTGCACTGCGCTGAGATTATTCAGACTCAGGCTTGAGTTAGAAGTAGAACAGAGCACTTATGCATTACACTTGTGCGCCATAATGTTGATCCGTTAAATAAACATAAACATATAGTTTTGGTTAGCAAGTGCACTGGCCACTCTGCCACCTCCACCACAGTTCACACAAACGTCAAATGATGACGCATGTCTTTTTCTGCTGGAAATAATTCTTCATTTGTAAATTTACAGTTTTTAGCAAAATGGATGGTATTTGTGTAAGCTGTGTTTTTTTTTTTAATTATAAAATTTTTTTTCTTCTACTTCTTCTTCTTCTTCTTCTTCTTCTTCTTCTTCTTCACTTCCTCTTTTACCGCTGTGGGTGTCGAGAGAGATATAAGGTTCTGTTTCTAGCTCTTCTGGCTGCCTCGACCATAGGCACATCGTGCTGTTGTAGAGTTTCTCTGATGTTATCCTTCCATCTTGTTTTTGGTCTACCCCGTGCTCTACGTCCTTCTTCTCTTCCCATGTATGCTTTGTATGGTATGGTGTCACAAGGCATTCTCTCTAAGTGGGCAAACCATTTTACTTGCTGTCTTTGTATGTAATCCAGAATTGGTTCTGTGCCGACTTTGTTCTCTTATGATCTCATTTCTGATCTTATCTCTTATGGTCACTCCTACAGCCCTTCTCAGACATCTCATCTTTCCGTGGTTACTAATTTTCTTTTATGGTTTTGTTGTGAGTGACCATGTCTGGCACTGGTAGCACAGAGTTGGAATAAATATGCTTTGAATAAGATGTCTCTTTGTGCTGACTGGGATTGTCTTATGATGTAAGAAGGGGGCTAGCTGTCCCAATACTTGGTTTGCTTTACTGCATCTAATGTCAATTTCTTTATCCAATTTCCCATCTACGGTAAATGTAGTTCCCAGATATTTAAACTCAGATGCCTGTTTAATGCCTTTGTATTCTATTGTTATGTTTAGATCTGTCTTCTTTTTTCCTATTGACATTACTTCTGTCTTTTCAGTGTTGATTTTCATATTATTTGTTTTACATTCTTCATTCATGGATGTTAGATGTTGTTGCAATTTCATGGCTGTATCTGCTATCAAGGCCTGTTCATCTGCAAAGAGTAATTCGTTGATCTTACTAAGATCTTCATTCATAGGCTTGGCATTCTTGCATATACTGTCGATGTAGGTGATAAACAGCAGTGGTGATAAGACACATCCCTGTCTTACTCCAGATGTCACTGTGAAAGGATGAGATGTTCCCTGATTTATTCTAACTACACTTCTACAATCCCTGTATAAACTTTTGCACACTTCGATGAGGTGTTCGCTTACTCCATATCTTGCCATTATTTTCCATAATAATTGTCTGTCGACTCTGTCAAATGCCTTCTCCTGGTCTACGAATGCCACAAATAAGTTCTTATTGTATTCAATGTTCTTTTCTATTAACTGTTTAAGTGTGAAGATTGCATCTGTGCAGCTTCTATTTCTCCTAAATCCCATCTGTTCTTCTGCCAGCTGTGGTTCTATCACTGGTCTCAGTCTTGTTTCTATTATCTTGGCATACATTTTGCCAACATGGCTTAAAAGAGAGATGCCTCGATATTGACCGCATTCTCGTTTGCTTCCTTTGTTCTTCCACAATGGTATAACTATTGCATGTTGCCAATCAATAGGGGCCGTTTGTTGTACCCATGCTGCATTGAATATTCTGTGAAGCCATCTGATGCTGCTTTCACCTGCTGCTTGAATTATTTCTGTTGGTAATCTATCAGCTCCTGGTGCTTATATTTGGGAGACTGTTTAATGACTTTTTCTATTTCATCCATTAGTATGTGTGGTTCTAACACTGTTGCTCTGTGCTCTTCAGTTGTTCTTTCCTGATGATCTCCTAGAGGATTAAAGAGCTCATTGAAGTATTCCCTCCATCTTTCTGCAATCTCGGGTGGATCTATCAATGGCCTTCCTGTCTTATCATTAATTATTTCAGTGGGGTTGTAGCTCTCATCTCTTTTCCGCATATTTTTTAACCACTTTGAAAAATTTTCTGCTGGCTGTTTTCTCATTTTCTGCTAGTGACTCACCGAAACGTTCCCAGGATGCTTGTTTTTGCTTTCTTGACACTCCTATTGGTTTCTCTCCTTTGCAGTCTATAGTTTATATAATCTTCTTCTTTCTTTGATTTTATCCACTGTTTATATAAGTCTTTTTTCTTTTTAATTGCTTCTTTTACTTCTTCGCACCACCAAGGTGAATATTTGTTATTTCCTCGTCTGTTTCCACTCTTCCGTTTTCCACATAATTCTTCAGCAATACTAAGCATAGTGTTTTTATATATACTCCATTCTTCCTCAATATTGCCAACTATATGTGGAAGTTGTTTGAATGCTGTCTCTACTTTCTGTTGTAACTGTTCTTTTACTCCTTCCTGTTTCAGATTTGCTATCTTGATGAGATCCTTGTTTTTGTTTAATTTCTTTCTGTGTTTCTTTAATGTAAAATGTTTTGCTGTTAACACAACTATTTTATGGTCAGTGTCACATAGACCATTAGGGATTGCTCTTGAATCAAGAATTCTCCTTCTTCCTTCAACTCTGTTAAGTATAAAGTCAATCTGGCTCTTGATGGAGATATCATTCCATTTGTACCAAGTGTAAAGTTGTGAGTCTCTATGGTCAAAAAAATGTGTTCGTAATAAAAAGATTGTGCTGGCTGCATAAATCCAATATTCTTTGACCATTTCCATTTCTAGCACTGTTCTTAGCTGCATGTGGACCTAAAAATTGTTCGTATTCTCTTCTGTTATTTCCTACCCTCCCGTTGAAGTCACCCATTACATATAGTATGCTGCTTCCCTCAACTTTCTTTATCTCATCAGACAGATCGTCAAAGAATTCATCTTTCTGCTCTTCTGTATAATTATCATTGCACGGTGCATATATCTGTATATATGTTTCAGCTTGTTCTCCTCTTTTAATTTTCAAAGTAATAATAAGTGATAATGTATGTCTAATATGTAGTTAGATATGTCTGGATGTACCAGGAAACCCTGTTAGTAAGTAGCCTCTGTGTATTTTCTTATTAATATTTCCCTTGCGTCTTATGTCAGCTAGCCCCATTAACTTGATTTTCCTTTTTTCCATCATTTCAATAATCTCTTCTGTTTTATTTTCCCAGCCAGCAGTGTTAAGTGTTGCAATCTTGTATTTCGCTGTTCTGTCTCGTAGTCCGTTAACATTGCCATGGTCAGATACCGTTTGATCAGTCCGTTTATATCTCATTTTGATTTTTGTAGCGGTAAAAAATCCATTGCCGGCTTGCTAGGCCTGTCGCAACTTCACCAGAGCCCCGTTGGCCAGGACGTTTCGGGGTGACCCAGGGTGGCCTTCATGGCTACCGTAGCGGTCCCGTGGCACGAGGCCACACCAGACTTCGCCCACACCTAGCAATCCCCAACTTTGTCCTGTTACCACCTCTCACGACGAGGACGTGGGGTTGGCCTTTGAGAGGCTTTTTCTTCTACAATGCAGTGAAATGAAAACATGAATACATTCCAATTTCAGAATGTTCAATTATGGAGAATTTCGAGCAGATGATGACCAAGAACAACATCTAGCAGAGCTAAATAAAAAAGTGGAAGATGTTTACAGACATTGTATTGGTGACAATGAAGCAAATATCAGGTAAGTTTCTTGTGTGTTATTTAGCACATGCATTTGAAAATGTTGGATTTGTTCAGGTATACAGGAACAAACTATTTATTTTATAAAGTGCTGCAATTGACACTGTGGACATTCCCACATATGCTCCGTCCCCTTCTTCAGTAGCCAACAAAGAGTCAACATGCTAATAGTATTTAATTGTAATTAATTAATTTTTTTAAATAACCTCTTTGTGTATTCTACACCAAGTTGACATTGCCCATAGATGAGAAACCGCGTTCAGCCATTAGACCATATTAATGGGTGGGCTATATTGCGGGCCCCTAGCAAGAGCCAGAGTAGGGCTTCAAATAACGAAAAATTGCATCTCACAAGAGGATGACTATTTATAAGTAAGATTTACACCAACACACACACACTGACAAAAGGCAACACATGTAAAGTACACGTACACCTTTTGAGAATCGATATTAATACAAATGTAAAGTTCCGTTGGTTGTAATAGCTAATCTTCAAAAGTTCTTCACTGATTGCTTTCAAATTTTCACACAATGTTGCATTTGACCATGCGTGTGTTTTTATGTAACAGTGTCGCAATATCTACAAACTACATAGCTACAGCAATGATCACATTTGGTCATTTAGATGTACACAAGTCAGCTTTACTTTCAGCTGTTAGGAAAACAAAACAAAAGCATAAGCATGTGGTACACAAATAACTATCTTTTAAAGTTCCTAAATAATATAATTTAAACCACCACTAAAATTAACACACTTACATGTTGCGTGTTCTAGAGGCGGCAAATCAGACTATCTGCACAGCCACCGATTGTGATATTACCCATATTAGACACGTGTGCCTTTTGTTTTATTTTTTTCCATTCTAAAAGACTGAGCTTCAGCAAGCTTGGCAGGTACCGCTTGTTTTAAATAGAAGTGATTCAAAACTGAAAAAAAAGGGGAAATAACTATAGGATATCATTGTGAAGGGAAGTGGGAGAGAGCTACTTCTATCATCACAATCGTTTACGTCTGTTTTTGTTTGTTATAATCATCATCACCACCACCATTGTTTATGTTTGGTTTGTAGATCATCACTCTCACTTAAATATGCCTTTAAAAAAATATGATTAACCTTTGTTACATCTTTGAGTCACCTAATGAAGAACTCAATAAAAGACACACAATGTATGTCTAAGTGCATACTAGCTTTCATTGGTACCTTATTCCTTACGTTCTTCTTAGGACGTTATTTTTTGTTATTTGAAGCCCCACTCTGGCTTTTGCCAGGGGCCGCAATATAGGCAGGTCATCATTATGGCCAAATGTCTGAACGCGGTTTCTGGGACCTCTCCACGGTGATCCTCATCCGCATGGTGCCACTTTGTGTTATCGGGTGTTTATTGCTTGTGTGATGTCCTGGTGGGGTAAAAAGCCAATCCAATCCAATACTAGCTTTCCATTCTCAAAGTCATCCCCATGACTTTGAGGTTACAATGTTCTGTTGTTTGAAGTCTTACCTTCGCTTTTGCCGAGAGCCTGACATATAGCTGGGCCACAATTGTGGCCATAATAGCTGAAAGGGGTTTCTGGGACCTCTCCATGGGTGATCCTCATCTGCATGGTGGCACTTTGTGTCACCGGGTGTTTATTGCTTGTGTGATGTCCTGGTGGGGTACAACAACCCAGCAAGCAGTGCTGGCTTTCACTCAACTAGTCATTCCCCTGGCTTCTGCTGGGGGCCCCAGAATATAGCCGGGACATAGGTATGGCCTAACGGCTGAAAGGGGTTTCTGGGACCTCTCCATGGTGATCCTCATCCACATGGTGGCACTTTGAATCACTGGGTGTTTATAGCTTGTGTGATGTCCTGGTGGGGTACAACTAACATACTTACACATACTGGCTTTCTACAATAATTATAAACCCTCGCCCTGACTTTCATCATCCCCCTTTATAATGCAATTTTTTATTATTTTGATGCCCCATCCTGGCTGTTGCCAGGGGCCGCAGTATAGCCTAACAGTTGAACACGGTTTGCAGGACCTCTCCACAGGTGATCCTCATCTGCATGGTGGTGCTTTATGTCACTGGGTGTTTATCGCTTTGTGTGAGGTTCTGGGGAGGGGGAAGGAGTAACATTTACTAACTAACTGCCCTCGCCATAATAGGGAACACATTTTGTGTGTGTGTTATTTCAAAGTTCTAAACTGGCTGTCACCTGGAGCCCTAATATAACAAAATGGTTGAAAAGGGTTTCTCCTCTGAATGGGGGCACTTTGTGTCACCAAGTGGTTGTCGCTCATTGTGCGGTCCTGATTTAGGTTGAGCACACTCTACAATAACAAAAACAAAAACAGACAAACTGTAGCATGAGATCCTAATAGGGAAGAACTGGTCAATATGCGGTGTTATTCTTTGGTCAATGTTTCGTGTTATTCTTTAATCAATGTGTGATGTTATTCTTTGGTCAATGTGTGATGTTATTCTTTGGACAATGTGTGATGTTATTCTTTGGTCAATGTGTAATGTTATTCTTTGGTCAATGTGTGATGTTATTCTTTGGTCAGTGTGTGATGTTATTCTTTGGTCAATGTGTAATGTTATTCTTTGGTCAATGTGTAATGTTATTCTTTGGTCAATGTGTAATGTTATTCTTTGGTCAATGTGTAATGTTATTCTTTGGTCAGTGTGTAATGTTATTCTTTGGTCAGTGTGTGATGTTATTCTTTGGTCAATGTGTGATGTTATTCTTTGGTCAGCGTGTGATGTTATTCTTTGGTCAATGTGTAATGTTATTCTTTGGTCAATGTGTAATGTTATTCTTTGGTCAATGTGTGATGTTATTCTGTGGTCAATATGTGATGTTATTCTTTGGTCAATGTGTGATCTTATTCTTTGGTCAATGTGTGATTTTATTCTTTGGTCAGTGTGTGATGTTATTCTGTGGTCAGTGTGTGATGTTATTCTGTGGTCAATATGTGGTGTTATTCTTTAATCAATGTGTGATGTTATTCTGTGGTCAATGTGTAATGTTATTCTTTGGTCAATGTGTGATGTTATTCTGTGGTCAGTGTGTGATGTTATTCTGTGGTCAATGTGTGATGTTATTCTTTGGTCAGTGTGTGATGTTATTCTGTGGTCAGTGTGTGATGTTATTTTTTGGTCAATGTGTGATGTTATTCTGTGGTCAGTGTGTGATGTTATTCTGTGGTCAGTGTGTGATGTTATTCTGTGGTCAGTGTGTGATGTTATTCTGTGGTCAGTGTGTGATGTTATTCTGTTGTCAATGTGTGATGTTATTTTTTGGTCAATGTGTAATGTTATTCTGTGGTCAGTGTGTGATGTTATTCTGTTGTCAGTGTGTGATGTTATTCTGTGGTCAGTGTCAGTGTGTGTTTATTCTGTGGTCAGTGTGTGATGTTTATTCTGTGGTCCTTGGCCAATGTGTGTGATGTTATTCTGTTGTGTCATTGTGTGATGTTATTCTTTGGTCAATGTGTGATGTTATTCTGTGGTCAGTGTGTGATGTTATTCTTTGGTCAATGTATGATGTTATTCTTTGGTCAATGTGTGATGTTATTCTGTGGTCAGTGTGTGATGTTATTCTGTGGTGAGTGTGTGATATTATTCTTTGGTCAATGTGTGATGTTATTCTGTGGTCAGTGTGTGATGTTATTCTGTTGTCAATGTGTGATGTTATTCTGTGGTCAGTGTGTGATGTTATTCTGTGGTCAGTGTGTGATATTATTCTTTGGTAAATGTATGATGTTATTCTGTGGTCAATGTATGATGTTATTCTGTTGTCAATGTGTGATGTTATTCTGTGGTCAGTGTGTGCTATTATTCTTTGGTAAATGTATGATGTTATTCTGTTGTCAATGTGTGATGTTATTCTGTGGTCAGTGTGTGATGTTATTCTGTGGTCAGTGTGTGATATTATTCTTTGGTAAATGTATGATGTTATTCTGTTGTCAATGTGTGATGTTATTCTGTGGTCAGTGTGTGCTATTATTCTTTGGACAATGTGGGGTATTATTCTTGCAGAAGCGAGAGTCCTTTCACTGTTAGATTGAGATTCTAGTTAACTAACAACAAAGAGACGATTCACTGTAGTTGCTACAGCAGGAACCAAGCAAGAGAATGTATGATTCTGATGATTTTCTCTGCAGCACCCTGCAGATGCTGACAAATATAGAAAACAGGCTGGAGGAATTGTTTGAGATCATTGAAACCATGCCTCCGGAAAAAGTGGAAGCTGCAGAAAAGGTCAGTGTGTGTGTCTTTCTGTCAATTTTCAGAAAGTCTCGAAGATTCAAAACCATGTTCTCCATATTAAGACAGAGGCAATGCACTCTACACCCATTTCAGACATGGAATCAATTACTGGTCTCCATGATTTGGAAGACAGGAGAGACACAAAGCTTCTCACCCAGCTCTCCAAATACCACCACTTTAAAGAACAACCAATGCACAGTTGACTGCAGAAACCCCAGAAGGCTAGACTAAAGAGAACTTGTTTTATTGAGAACGCAAATGCCAAGCTCGCTGTCCTCAAACTCTCTCCCACAATACCAAATGTTCCACTGAAACCTTACAACCACTGCCCCCCCCCCCCCCCCCCCCCCCCCCCCCCTTGGCTTAGGGATGACCTGCCAACAGTCAGAACCACTGTAACAGGGATCTCCTCCAAATCAATGAGCAGCACTGATATGAAATCAACTACAGAAGGAGAGATGAACAGACTTTATGCCCAAATGGTTTACAAATCAACCAGGCTGTACCAACAGGTTCATATTCCTCCAATTAAAGAGCAAAGGCAGAATCACTTCTGGCAGCATGTTCTTTCCTGAATGGACAACAGCACAGCAAATATAGCAGAGTGATCTTTCTGACTGATGCTCTGTCAGTTCTACAAGCAATTGTTAACTCAAAAGACACTCAGTTTGTAGACTTGACGCAACAGCTGATTCACTTAGACTCTTCAGTAGTAGAACAGTCTGTACTGCAGTAGATTTCAGGTCACAGTGGCTTAGAAGGCAATGAAATAGCAGACTGATTGGCCAGAAGCGGCAGTGACATGGTACAACCAAATCGTGACAACCCACCAAGAGACAAAAACATTAATACAATCTAGTATCCAAGAAAGGTGGCTGGATACACACAATAGATTTTCTCCTCAAGACTCGCTTCATCGCATCTCTAGAGAGGGACAGTGTATTTTATTCAGGCTAAGGACTGGGCACAACAGACTTCGTTCACATTTTTCGGTGTAGGAAACGCAGAGATGTGTCCCTGCAGCGTAGCACCCGAAAATGCTGAGCATGTGCTCCAACACTGTCAACTGTATGCTGACAACAGAGACACAATCTGGCCTGTTACAACCACAATGGAGACGAAGCTGAATGGTACACGAGAGCATATGGACAGTACGTTAGATTTCATAAAGTTTACCGGCCCCCTGATATAAGTTTTCTGACAGAAAGATCGAAGAAGAAGAAGAAGACAGCACTCGGGACACCCCAATCTCAGCTCTGTCCCCATCTTTAGCAGCAAGTGAAGAGTTAAAATTCTGATGGTATCAGTAACTGTCTGATTGTATATCCGCTTGGCCTTTCCCCTGAGTTTTGAGCGTCAGCTAGATCCCACTCCTTGCAGTGCCATTCTCCTCAGACTGTAATGATCTATCTGTTCCTCAGCACTGTTTATTTGCTCCCAAACAAATCCAGCTTGTCATACATCAGTTCACCACCAAGTGGTGCAGAACCGGCCAGTCTATCTGCCTGATCATTTCCCAACACACCAGTTTTTATATAACGCCCTGGGTTCAGATTTTAGAATTTTGGTTTAAAAAAAAATTTCCTTATAAAAAAGTGGGTAAATGTTTCTCTCGCCGAGTGAGTGACAGTCATTATGTATCTGCGTCCTGCTATGGTTAAATTCTTATACAGCTCGCTTTTCACTAACGCTTCTAGTGCATATCACAAAGAGCATGCATGTGAGAATAAACATTTCGACTTAAACATCCAAATATTTGAGTTAACAGAATTCGACTTATCAGGACTTTTTATACAAAGAGGGGAAATGGCTGACCCTGTCCTGCTATTCCCAGTATCAGAGACGTGGGCCGAACTTGAAGTATCAATTATGCAGCTTCTCCATTTATTTTGTAGTCTGCTGCCAAATTTCAGCCTGAAAGATTGACACCCAGTGACTCAAAGAGCCACTTTTTCAATGCAGATTTAACAGAAGCAAATCCGTGATTGTTCAGATGTATAAAAACAGTTATACTGGGGCACATTATTCTCACACAGTAACCGGCTGTCCTTAGGGTTAGGGACATTGTCAACACTGAGTGTATGTTACTTTTGTCTTATCCCACAACTGCTTTCAGACAGAACAAGTCAGGATCATGAAGAATATGGTTACTGATATTTTCTTCTTCTACTTCATTGCGAACAAGGCTGTAGACTGGAGAAAAGTTCTGGTTGTTCGTTCATTTCTGGACGATGGTCTTGTTTCAGAACTTGAGTTTTGCATACATATCTCTTTTATAGATCTGGCTTATCTGTGTACAGACTGTTAGTTGCTCACCTCTCAGTCATATGCCCTCTGACTTTGGAGGGCACATCTTTAATTAGTTGTCTTGTAGGACATGCTTGTTGGGGTGGGGGGGGGGGGGGGGGGGGGGGGGGGGGGGCAGTGGGTGGGGTCTGTTAATGTTTCCTTTAAAATGGAGCCCCCAAACAGGAAATGCATAATTCTGATACTTGACCAAAACTTTGTGTCTTTTCTTCTTTAGGCAAAGGACAAAGAAAGGAGGCTGAAGCTGCGAGAGGAGAAACTGGAACAGTTGCGGCTGCACCAGGAGGAGAGAGTCAGAAAAGCACTGGAGAGGGCGCAGGCAGCTCCTAAAAAACAGGTCAGAGAATGAGGAAAGGGTTAATGAGAAAAGGGTGGATAGAAGGAAAAAATATATAGAAGGAAAGGGTAGGTATGGAGAAAACATGGATAGAATGAAATGTTATAGGAAGAAAGAGTTAATAAAAGAACAGTTGAAATGAGGAAAGGTTGGAAGTTCTGGAACAAAGCCAAAGTCTAGAAATGGACTAATAACCTTAACTTTCTGCTAGATAGAGGCAAGTAACCAACAGTCTGCATACAAATAAGTCATATCTGTAAAACGGAACACCCAGAACTTTCCACTAGAGTTTACAGCCTGTGAATGCGAACAAGAAGAAGAACTAATTGGTTGGGGGGCCTAAAAATTGGCTGAGGGCCTAAAATTGGGTTTAGGCTATAAAAGCTGGATGAGTGTCTAAAAGTTCGTTGAGGGTAAAAACTTGCTGAGGGTCCTAAAAGCTGGTTGAGGGCCTAACCGCCTATGACTTGGTTTATGGTCAATGTCCACTGAAAGAGGAACATGTGAAGGTCTTACCCCACCTTTTCCCAGTTTTACATAAGCACGTCAGTTAAGGACTCTTTTCTAGACAGCCAGCACTGGATGGATGTGTTGACCATTACACCAGCTGCCTTTACTTCCCATTACCTGGTACCCATTGAAGACTAAGTCGACCTGGGCACCAAAGTCAATTTTAAAATATCTGCCTCAATGGAGATTTGAACTCTAGACAGGCAAGCATCTAGCCTACATTACTCTGGTTCTCCAAAAGCATGTTTTTGATAGTTAACTTCCTCTTTTAATCAGTGGAGGGTACAGGACGTCGCAGGTCAGACCCAGCCTTAAATGGATACCAGGATGTGCTGTCCTGGGAAAGTAAAGACAGCCGGCGTAATGCTGACCACATTACCCACCGAGTGCCGATTGGTCTGTAAAAATATGGTGCTCTTCCCATATGCCCGATATGCCTAAAGGCGTGGAAAGGGATCTTTACTTTACTTTTTTTTTTAATTAGTGTTAAACTCTGATTGAAACATTTGCTTGTTATCTGTGTGTCTTTCCTTTTGCAGGTTTCCTTGCTGTATTTTGTGCTTATTTGGTCATCAACAGAAAAACAGGGACAGGGGTTGTTTCAGTTCTTATTTTCTTCCTCTTTTATTGCTTGGGGTGTCAACAGAGATAAAGTTTCTACTCCTTTCTCTTGTCTCCGCCTTTACAGTGGTCACAATATTGTTGTGGAGTTTCTCTGTCTATCTTGTACTCTACATCCCTCTTCTGTTTTCTGTGCGTGAATGCCTTAAATAGTTTGGCATCACAGGTCTTTTTCTTCAAGTAGGCAGAACATTTATTTCTGTTCTTTGTATGTATTTTAGTATTGGTTCTGTGCTGACGTTTTCTCTAATGACTTCATTCCTCAGTTTTTCTCTTCTGGTCACTCAGACATCTTTTTTCCCTGGTTATTAATTTTCTGTTCTACTAGAATTAAATGTTGTTTTTAAATGTCTTCTCTCTTGCACAGACTGGTAAGAAGCTGGTCTTTAGATCGGAACCCCCACAGCTGGAGAAGAAAGAAGATGAAGGAGCCGACCTGGCAACCAAAGAGGAAGAAGAGCTGCAGTATTACTTCTCTTGGTAGCTATCAGAAGTTTCTGGATACAAACTCTGGCACACTTTTCACTGAAACGACTTTAGTAATGGATATAGAGAGAGTCAGAAATGTATTATCTATACACTAATGGGAAAATTTATATAACTAATATAAGTGCCCCCATAAAACCCTTCATCAGAACCCACATGGCTGAAAAATTACAGGAAGACCTGAAAACACACACAAAGAAGAGAATAAAAAAGAAAGATGTATACTATGAAAAAGATTAATGAAGTTGCAGGATTAACAAAAGATTTGATGGTAGGCATAACATAGTTGTTGTTCCAGTGGAGGATATGTGCAGAAGAAGAAGAAGAAGAATAAATACAAGACGAAGAAGAAGAGAAGGTAGAGTAGAAGAAACATCCCCTATATCCCTATTTTGGGCTCAGATAATATTGATAAAAGAATAATTATCCATTTATCAGCAGGATTATATATGAGATGATAATTATGTGAACATAAATAAGTTAGAATTAAACATAAGATTCATAATAAAGAACAACATGTTGTCAGTCTATGAAAAGATGAGGAGTCCTACTGTGAATGTGGACCCACACACTTGCCAGGTAACACATGAACTGTGAGAAAATGTGGTTTTGGTTGAAGGCTGTATTTTTGCCAGTATCTTCAGAGCAGACACAAAAGCTTGCGCTTTTCTTAACATCATCTGCAAAATCTGGCAAGGACTGCTTTGGCTAATATCATCCCATAAACCTGGTAACATTTGTATTGCCAGTATCTGACTCTCTCTCTCACACGCACGCATGCGTGCGTGCACACACGAGTGCACACACACACAGACACATACACACATGTGTATACACACACACGTCTGCAAAGACTATATGCTCCTATCCGTAGTCCATGCTACAGCTCAAAGGTAATTGATAATTAATAAAACACCATAGCCATAGCCCGCTGCTGTTGTAGGTGTCAAAACTTCTCTGGAGGTTGAACAGGGTATCCAGGAGTTGCCCTGCTGGCTTGCATTCCAGATCAGGGGGGTAGTCAAAGCTTCAAGTAGCAGCCCAAATTGTGGGAGTGGGGGGGGGGGGGGGGACTGTAATGAACAGATTTAAAGGTACTCTTTCCTACAAAGTTAATGTTACCAGTCAGATAGATGAAGAAATATGATATACATATATTCGTATAGTCTTGCCTCTTCTACTGTTGAGTGCCTTGATACCAAAGATAGCCAAAGTTCACCTCAGATCATCAAACTGAACAGCAACCATGCAGCCTTTGTTATTTTCTGTGGTTGGGTTCTTGCCATTAATGCATTTGGTTTGTGACCAGTTTGACATTTTGATCTGAACCAAAACTTTCGAGAAGCAAAGTCCAGTGAAGGTAGGTGTTATTGAAATAGTCAGGTCCCCCCCCCCCCCCTTTCCGGGATTTACCTTAAGGACTTACATCTGAAGGATGAAATCAAACAGGCACAAAACCATATAGCACAGTAAAAGTGGGCCTCCACAAACTGGTTGACAAGTAACTTATAGTCCAGGGTTGGTGACAAGTCTTATTTACCCAGCCCACACTAACAAAAACCGGCCCATATAGGTTCACAATGTCTTTTTAGATCATTCTAAATAATATGTCATTTGTATTAAATCGTGACATAATTAGTGATTACAATGCTCTATTTTGAAGATTTTATCAACAGTGAACTGTGTCTCTTCATAAACACAGGTTACCTCTTGTTGTTACTTTATGTTTGTTTGAGTTTCCAATTATATGTTCAAGATGTTAACGAATGTTATATGTTGTTGTTAGCACCCTTTATACAACAAGACAGTGTTCAACTCTTGTTGTTACTGTTGTTGTTAGCACTCTTTGAGTTTCCAACGACAGTGTTCAAGAATGCTATAGAGAGCCCATGACAATGGCGACTAGTAAGACCAGGCTGCATTAAGAAGATTCTACACAATAAATGAATGGACAGTTGAAGACAATTGTTACCGTCACATCTGTCTTGACATGTTTCCTTTCAGTTTCCTCCTGTCTGCAATCCCTTTCTCCCTTGTCTATATTCCCTCTCCAATAGTACCCTGTCCCCATTAAACTGCCTCAATAGCTATATCATTCTTGTCCCACTTGCACATCTTTAAATTGTAGTAGAAGCCTACCCCAACATTCTTCAAGGACTTGAGCATTGAGAAAACTGTTGCTGGCCGCTGCTATATATTACATTAGCTTGTTCATAATCAAATTAATAAACAATCTGTGACAGAATTATTTGAACAAAGTAGTGTTAAATAGTGCCTACATAGAATCATCGTGTTAAATGGTGCCTACATAGAATCATCATGTTAAATGGTGCTTACATATAATCATTGTGTTAAATGGTGCCTACATATAATCATCGTGTTAAATGGTGCCTACATATAATCATTGCGTTAAATGGTGCCTACATATAATCGTGTTAAATGGTGCCTACATAGAATCGCAGTGATAAATGGTGTCTACATAGAATCACCATGGTAAATGGTGCCCTCATAGAATTATCATGTTAAATGGTGCCCTCATAGAATTATCATGTTAAACGGTGCCCTCATAAAATTATCATGTTAAATGGTGCCCTCATAGAATTATCATGTTAAATGGTGCCTACATAGAATCATCGTGTTAAATGGTGCCCACACAAAATCATCGTGTTAAATGGTGCCTACATAGAATCATCATGTTAAATGGTGCCTACATAGAATCATAGTGTTAAATCGTGCCTACATAGAATCATCGTGTTAAATGGTGCCTTCACAGAATCATCGTGTTAAATGGTGCCTTCATAGAATCATCGTGTTAAATGGTGCCTACATAGAATCGTAGTGTTAAATGGTGCCCACACAGAATCATCGTCTTTATCATTGTGCCTACATAGTGCCATGTTATGGTCATATAAGAATCTGGCAGCCAATGGTGCTTCATATCATCTGTTCTATCCTTGAATCATAGTTTTTAACCTCATAGATGTGAGGAATGGGGAGCTAGCCCATGTCCAATGGTTATCCTTTCTCGCAAGTAGTGTGAACTGTTCTGGCCACTGACTTCCACAGGGCGGCTTTTATTAAATGCAACTGTCATGATGTTCAACTTTGAAAGTAAACACCCACCACTTGACTGTTTACCCGAATGGCATCCTTCTGTCACAGGGTGGGGGAGCTAGTCCCATGTCCAACCCCGGTTTCCTTTCTTCCACATGCTTGGGACCTGGTACCTGGGAGGCTGGGTCAACCTGGTAGCGACCCCTACATATAAAAGTAGGCAGCCAGCAATAGGTTTTGATGACTCACTGATGTAGAACTTTGAAAGAATGAAACAGTTTCCTGTCAGACAAGAGGTGTGGGGAAAAGCAATGATGACAGACAGAAAACATCAAGAAAATCTGACAATAGAATAATGATGTCAGAGACAAAGCTAGAAATGATGTTATCAGACAGACTGTAGGAACAACACCAGGCCGCTAATTCACTGAGAAACAGAAGATGAAATGGTTTTGTCATGTAGTGAGAACGTAGCCAGAACAACCACCAACAGGCACTACACATGAAGAGATCTGAAGTGAAAGCAAGAGGACCCCCTAGGAGGATATGGACTGATGGCATTAAAGAGCTTCTACATGGACAGGGAATGACAATAGCCATAGCTGCCCATCAAGCGATAGATCGCAAGCTGTTCCTCCCCACAACGCTCAACAGAAAATAAAAGAGATAGAGGAACACTCAAGATAGATGGAGAATAGTCACAGATTATATGGCTAGGCCATGGTAGTGGCTGCAAAAGGTGAAAACAAACAAACTAATGGTTGTGTTTAGTTTCAGCTGTAGATTGTCCATATTCAACATTTTTTCCTGGTCAAATTTGGAAAGATGCCATTTCCGATTGGAAAAAAAAAAATTGATTGTTTTCAACTTTATTTTGACCATGTAGCAGGTCCTTGCAGAACGACAGGATCACCAGTCTGGGAAAGAAACTCAGGTCTCTCGCCACCTCTCCCGCCTAGTGTACTGTCTATTATATTCAAAGAGTAACTTATGTCCTGTGCCCATCTTCGTGACGGTCGGCCTCTGCCCCCTTCTTCCTGGTACCATGACTTCTGCTATGATTTTACCTAATCCGCCATGGCACCTTTTTTTTTTTACAACAGGAAAGTTATAGTGGATTCTGTTGAACATAATGGACTCCAGTTTTTCTTTTTCCCTCCCAAGAAATGCTAAAAGAATGTCGACTGTGTTCCCTTGTGACATTAATCAAGAAGGTGTTGTCTTTACAGTCACGGCTGGCTGCAACAGTTCTTGTCCTGGTTGTACACTCTCTCAAAACTGCTGTTTGTCCATCTCTTTACATTGTCCTCCCACCTATTATCAATTTTATTTTTTGCTCTCTTCGATTTTTTCCTTGAAAAGTTTTTTAATAGGTTTGTGCCTTTTAAGATGGCAAAAATATTTCAACTGTCTCTCTTTTATTTATTTCAATAACTCTTTTCATGCCCAGTCCCTACAAAACATGTGTACACACAGTGCGGGTTCCATGGAATCATTTTGGGTAGCAATAAAAATGACCCACTACCCACATTAAGAAGCATGCCATAAAAGACTACAAATCAGTAGTGCATCTGCTTGTGAGGTGAGGAACCAACAGACTGCATACTAAAAAGCCTGATCTGTAAAATGGATGTGCATGCAAAAATTAAATTCTGGAACAAGACCAAAATCCACAAGAGGACAAACAACCAGAACTTTCCACTGGAGTTTATAGCCGGTGAGCTTCAAGAAGAACCTTTGTACTTGATTGTTTGCTTCCATGAAATATGACTCCATACTTATTTTACTTCTCTTTGTACCTCAGCAAAGTGTCGGGGGGAGATGTAACATTCGTTGATGAACTCTGTCAAGAGAACTATTAAGACTGATGTTCATTTCTGTAAGGCTGTTCCTAATGCCATCACTCCATTTTTTCAGAGGTCTTCCACTTGCTCTATACCCGTTGTAACATTTTAGTGTGGCTCGCTGTTGTAGATAGTACCAGGGCATTCTTGTTAGGTGTCCAAACCACTTTATTTGTTGTTCTTTGATGACTTGTGAGACTGGCTTTATTCCTAGCATTCATCCGATTTCGTATTGTCTTTTCTTGAAACTCCTGCAGCTCTTCTTATGCATTTCATCTCTGTTGTCACAATTTTACGTTTATTGGAGGATAATGACAATAATGACAAAATCAAATGGTTTGGCCAAGTAACAAGATTGGCATCAGACAGGGCACAACAGAGAGTAATGCTACATGGATACAGCAGCAACTGAGCCTCAGACAGGGCACAACTGAGCCTCAGACAGGGCACAACAGAGAGTAATGCTACATGGACACAGCAGCAACTGAGCCTCAGACAGGGCACAACAGGGAGTAATGCTACATGGATACAGCAGCAACTGAGCCTCAGACAGGGCACAACAGAGAGTAATGCTACATGGATACAGCAGCAACTGAGCCTCAGACAGGGCACAACTGAGAGTAATGCTACATGGATACAGCAGCAACTGAGCCTCAGACAGGGCACAACAGAGAGTAATGCTACATGGATACAGCAGCAACAGAGCCTCAGACAGGGCACAACTGAGAGTAATGCTACATGGATACAGCAGCAACTGAGCCTCAGACAGGGCACAACAGAGAGTAATGCTACATGGATACAGCAGCAACTGAGCCTCAGACAGGGCACAACAGAGAGTAATGCTACATGGATACAGCAGCAACTGAGCCTCAGACAGGGCACAACAGAGAGTAATGCTACATGGATACAGCAGCAACTGAGCCTCAGACAGGGCACAACAGAGAGTAATGCTACATGGATACAGCAGCAACTGAGCCTCAGACAGGGCACAAGAGACAGTAATGCTACATGGATACAGCAGCAACAGAACCTCAGACAGGGCACAACAGAGAGTAATGCTACATGGATACAGCAGCAACTGAGCCTCAGACAGGGCACAAGAGACAGTAATGCTACATGGATACAGCAGCAACTGAGCCTCAGACAGGGCACAAGAGACAGTAATGCTACATGGATACAGCAGCAACTGAGCCTCAGACAGGGCACAACAGAGAGTAATGCTACATGGATACAGCAGCAACTGAGCCTCAGACAGGGCACAACAGAGAGTAATGCTACATGGATACAGCAGCAACTGAGCCTCAGACAGGGCACAAGAGAGAGTAATGCTACATGGATACAGCAGCAACTGAGCCTCAGACAGGGCACAACAGAGAGTAATGCTACATGGATACAGCAGCAACTGAGCCTCAGACAGGGCACAAGAGACAGTAATGCTACATGGATACAACAGCAACAGAACCTCAGACAGGGCACAACAGAGAGTAATGCTACATGGATACAGCAGCAACTGAGCCTCAGACAGGGCACAAGAGACAGTAATGCTACATGGATACAGCAGCAACTGAGCCTCAGACAGGGCACAAGAGACAGTAATGCTACATGGATACAGCAGCAACTGAGCCTCAGACAGGGCACAACAGAGAGTAATGCTACATGGATACAGCAGCAACTGAGCCTCAGACAGGGCACAAGAGACAGTAATGCTACACAGATACAGCAGCAACAGAACCAGAGGTCAACCACACAAAGTATGGACCACAGAAATATCTGACACTGAAAGGTACTTTATACGAAGCGAACAGAAAGGCCTGTTCCAGAGATTTCTTCCTGCCCTGACGCAGCGAGGCATTCCAGGAGTAGAGACAAGAAGAAGAAGAAGACTGGTAATGATCTGTTTATTATAACCAAATGTATCTAACATAACATTCAAACATACGACACATACAATCCACAGACAAAATGATTAACTCAGGCTGTATTGGTACGCTGCATGTTCATCTCATATTTTTATTGGCTATGTACAAACTGTGTATATAACATATCATGGATACAATGCATAGGGGCATGGTTTACAGCAACTGTGGGGGTAATATAAGGTAATATTAATGATATACTGGGGGTTTCTGATGAAATATGGGACATGCTTCATGACAAATGGGGTACAATTTATGGGATATGGAATTAACAATGAAATATGGAATACAAATTAATGAAATGGTGGATAAGTCTGCAGAAATCTAGGATAGGAAATAATGTGCACAATTTGTGAGCTAGCTTCAGAGTAAATTTTGTGCCATAATGAATAACTAGAGGGTACAAATAATAAGATATGGAGCAATTTTTATGACATTCCACAGAAATCTGACAATACATGATGCACATGTAGGCAGATAATACATGATGTACATGTAGGCAGACAATACATGATGTACTTGTAGGCAGACAATACATGATGTACTTGTAGGCAGACAATACATGATGCACATGTAGGCAGACAATACTTGATGTACATGTAGGCAGACAATACATGATGCACATGTAGGCAGACAATACACGATGTACATGTAAGCAGACAATACACGATGTACATGTAGGCAGACAATACATTATGCACATGAAGGCAGACAATACATGATGCACATGTAGGCAGACAATACATGATGTACATGAAGGCAGACAATACATGATGTACATGTAGGTAGACAATACATGATGTACATGTAGGCAGACAATACACAATGTACTTGTAGGCAGACAATACATGATGTACATGTAGGCAGACAATACATGATGTACTTGTAGGCAGACAATACATGATGTACTTGTAGGCAGACAATACATGATGCACATGTAGGCAGACAATACACGATGTACATGTAGGCAGACAATACATGATGTGCTTGTAGGCAGACAATACATGATGTACTTGTAGGCAGACAACACATGATGTACATGTAGACAGACAATACATGATGTACTTGTAGGCAGACAATACATGATGCACATGTAGGCAGACAATACATGATGCACATGTAGGCAGACAACACACAATGTATATGTAGGCAGACAATACACGATGTACTTGTAGGCAGACAATACACGATGTACTTGTAGGCAGACAATACATGATGTACAAGTAGGCAGACAATACACAATGTACATGTAGGCACACAATACATGTTGTACATGTAGGCAGACAATACACAAAATGAGCATGTTTCACAGATGCAGACAAATGAAATCAGGTAGCGGACAGGTGAGTAACATCCCCTGGCAATGATTTAAGTAGCGGTCTGCAGCCTGACACTTGTCAGACACCTGTTTGATGAAAGTAGATGAACTGTGATACTTGTGGGACACCTATTTAATGAAGGTAAATGAACTGTGACACTCATCGGACACCTATTTGATGAAGGTAGATGATCTGTGACACTTGTCGGACACCTATTTGATGAAAGTAGATAAACTGTGTCACTTGTGGGACACCTACTTGATGAAAGTAGATGAACTGACACTTGTGGGACACCTACTTGATGAAAGTAGATGAACCATGACACTTGTCGGAAACCTATTTGATAAAGGCCGATTAACTGTGGCACTTGCCGAACACCTATTTGATGAAGGTAGATGAACTATCAAACAATGAACCGATGGAAAATAAGTCACCATCCAGTGATAGCTTTGAACACATAAGGCTGTACTTCTCACATTTCAGTGCAACAACTGAAGACTGTTACTTGTGTGTGCAATGTTTCTGTTGTCTAGCATGTGGTATGGTATCTACTCTTCCTCACTGGTAATCTACCCCCTCTCTGAAACACTAAAACAATACCTTAAAATTACATAACACAAGTTATGTTTTCCACCCCTTATTCCCAAATGGAGAGGCAAACTCAAGTTAAGTGACTCTATCCTTTGCTACTGCATGCAGCTCACCCCATGTTCTGCAGCTCACCCCATGTTCTGCAGCTCACCCCATGTTCTGCAGCTCACCCCATGTTCTGCAGCTCACCCCATGTTCTGCAGCTCACCCCATGTTCTGCAGCTCACCCCATGTTCTGCAGCTCACCCCATGTTCTGCAGCTCACCCCATGTTCTGCAGCTCACCCCATGTTCTGCAGCTCACCCCATGTTCTGCAGCTCACCCCATGTTCTGCCTATCTTTTTTAACTTTACTCTCTAGCTACATTCTCCATGTGTTTTTTGGTCTGCCTGTATTTGTATGTCCCTATGGTAATTATGCCTGTCCACACACTATTCTGTCTCATGTACAGTTAGCATTTCTGACACAGAAGCTTGAAACTATGTTGTCAAACATCCTTTTCCTGACCTCTCCTGCTTCCCTTTCCCTCCAACATTCCCACTATGACAATGCACTTCAGTATTCCCCGTTCTCGATACATGCACCGCTGTGAGTGGCCTGTTGCTGATATAACTGCTGCTTCCATTGACGATGAACTGTATTTATAGTGTCAGAACTGTTTGTATTCACACTTCTGCCTTATGCCTTTAATCAGTGTGTGCGCTGCTAGATTTAACAAGACTGCAGCCGGTGTCAATGTGTTCCACAAGGGATAATGATGGACATTCATAGCACAGGAACAGAGTAACTATGGGGTGACCCGTTTGCTATGAAGTTGTAACTGACACTTCCTGATTACATAGACCCAAAAACTGTGGATCTCTTCTTCTGTTGAGGGTTATCATTGCACTCATGGTTCTAAAGTGATGCTTCTCTTCCATGAGCTTCAGGTGGGATACCTCTTTGGACTGACAGAGTTTGGGAGCTTCAGGTGGGATACCTCTTTGGACTGACAGAGTTTGGGAGCTTCATGTGGGATACCTCTTTGGACTGACAGAGTTTGGGAGCTTCAGGTGGAATACCTCTTTGGACTGACAGAGTTTGGGAGCTTCAGGTGGGATACCTCTTTGGTCAACGCTCTCATCGGTGAAAATTCAGACGAAGCAGATGCAATAATCTATACAGACGGATCCGTTATACGCCAAAGAAGAAGCGCATGGGCATTTACAGCACGCTCAGCGGGCAGAACAGTCAAAGAAGCCAACGGCGCCTTCTCCATGACAACCAGCAGCATGACGATGGAGGTGATGGCAGTGACACAAGCGCTTGCCTGGCTTGAAACACAAAAATACACCCGCGTGTGTATACTCAGTGATTCAATGAGTATGATCCGGAGGGTTCAGGCAGGTTCAGTGCGAAGACAATGGCTTGAATCATTACAGAAGTCCACTGTCCGTGGAGTCACCTTTATTTTTGTTCCGGGACACGCAGGCGTCGATGGAAATGAAAGAGCTGACAGGTTGGCTGGATCGGCTATCACTACCGACGGTCAGCCTATGGATCATGCTGATATTATCAATGCCCTCAGAGAAATGGGAAGGATAGACGACTTTAAAAGTGAATCCACATCACTCGCCAGAATGGCAGACTTGGGAATTAAGATCGGCACAGCAAAAAACGAGACGCACACCAGCTACGCCAGAAGACTTGTTAATCAACATAGAACTGGTACTATTAGCCATCGGACGTTGGGGTTCATACTGAGGGGAGGATCTGAGCACCTATGGACATGTCCGGAGTGCAATGAGGATAACCCAACTAACTAACTAACTAACCTCTTTGGACTGACAGAGTTTGAGAGCTTCAGGTGGGATACCTCTTTGGACTGACAGAGTTGGGGAGCTTCAGGTTCTAGCTTCCTGTAAATATCTCAGTAACCTGCATTTTGTGATTCTTGTAGAATAACTAACCAGCAAATAAAAATGAAACACAAACACAAGCATCTGATCAAATAATGAAATAACCATACCAGAAAACAGACACAAGCAAACGTTTCAATCTGGGAGAGCTAACAATCAAAGAATTATATATCTTACTTCACGTTACAATCATCTTTCCAGAGAGTAAACAAAAAAAACCAATGTTTCCCCGTTGTAAATTTAAAAAAAGAAGACACAGACAATAGATTTCACAATAGCATATTTCACTGTTATCTGTAGTATGCCACTGACAAAATACAGCAAAATATGCCAGGCAATAAATTGTGCAATCTATTGTTTGTGTCTTCATTATCCAAGTTAAAAAAAATTTTTTATATAAATGCTCTAGGAATTTTTGACAAAAATAAATGACTTTCTGGTATATCTCAAATCTCCTTTCTAACACTACATTAATGGCAGGCAACCTGTACTGGATAAACCTGTACAAGGTAATCAAGGCAGTCCCACAGTAGATACTACTTCAGGGGCTGAACTGTTAGAACAGAGCTTTTCAAACTTTCCATGCTGGTGACACACACTTTTCAGACAAACAATTCTGTGACAAGGTAATGCAGTCTAATAGCAAACCAGAGGAATGGGTAAATTTGGAATGGGTAACCTTTTTTTTTTCTGAGGCCAAATTTATAATTTCCAATTTGGTTGCGGGCCATATGGAAAAAATTCATTATAAACATAATGCCCAGATTTCCTCTAAAATAATATTTTTGTGGGATAATCTTAAGATTTACAATCCCTCTCTATACCTCTGGCCAGATACAGTCACCCACTGAAGTTTCTGTTTTCCTGATTGTGTCTGTTCAAGCTAGTTTTTTGCAGAAATCAAATTATCAAATTGTGCTCCGGTGGGTCAGGTTTGGCATGTGGGCTATAGTTTGCCCTTCCCTGAATTAACCCCTTATAAGATACACCGACTGAGACATACATAAGTTACATTTAAAAGACACACCTCACACTGCAGACGACACACTAATGTGTGGTGACACACAGTTTGGAAAGCTCTGTTTAAAGACCCAAACATATCTTCTGTAACACCATACAGGGTGAGTGGCAAGTTACTTTTCTCAAGTCACATTTCCATTCTAAACACTTCCTAGAAAACTGTCTAGTACCCTTTTCCTGAGGCTGGGCCAACCCAAGAACTGTTCTGAGGATTGAACCGGCACCACACTAACCACGATGGCTTTACAACAAGTACATACTATAAACACAAATATAATGGGGAGATCCATAAATCAGCATATGGTTGAGAACAAACAAGGCTGGAGTGCTACAAACCAACATCCTTGAATAAATAAACATGTCACAACCCTGCACAAGATTTGGGTCAAAATACACACTAGCCCATCACAAACTGCCATCAGGTACAGTATCAATAAACAAAAACATGAGCCCATCAGATACTGACACAAAGTTTTGATGAATGTTACCTAAAAGGTTTCAGACAAAAATTAACTCAAGGAGTAAACAAAATTAACATAAGGTTTAGATGACAATTAGATAAAAATTAGACAAAAATTAACACAAGGTTTAGATGAAATTTAACTCAAGATGCAGATAATCAATTACATAAGGTTTAGATGAAAATTAAATTAAGGTTTAAACAAAAATTAACATGAGGTTTAGATTAAAATGAATGCAAAAGTCTATGTTAAAATTAACATAAGTAACCATAAAAAGTCAGCTTTGTGGCTAAGTCGATGCGAATGCTTCGTAATGCCGGGTTCGATCCCAGCTGTGGGCCATGCCCCTTGCATTAGTTTTGACAGTGGCATCAAGAAAGCTGACTGTGATGAAAGCAATGGCAAACTACTGGACGTAAATTTGCTTAGAAAAACCACACAACAGCCAGGGGTTGTTGTGTTGGGGTTGGTTCTGCAATGTCCTGTAAAGGATACGCAACTAACCTAACATCATAAAAAAAATCAGCGAAGGGATACCAAAAAAAAACAAAAAACATTGGCCAGTTAGTTTCCAGTCAAGCAGCACGAAGTTTACAGTTACAACCAGCATCATGTAACATAAATAAATTAAACATAATAATAATGTCACACTAAACAACCAGCAGAAATGTTCGTAATGTATGTGTGTGTG